GCACCGGGGATCACACGCCTCTAATCCCAGCATTAGGGAGGTATATAAGACAGGAGCAGGATCTCAGTATTGAGCATTCATTCTCCAGCCACATTGAGGATCAAACATTCATTCTTCGGCCACATTAAGGATAGGAAGACATTCAGTCTCAGGATTCTTCAGCCACACTGAGGAGAGGCAACAGGATCAGCCTGTTCAGCTTGGGGTAGTAGTAAGAGCTAGTGGCCTGCTACTTTGCTTTTCTGACCTTCAACTTGAAGTTTGAACCCTAATATCTATCTCTGGGTTATTTATTTTTCCTGTCACAGTTCACCTTGATCACTTTCTGTTTTCCTGTGCATTTTTCTGGACTGAACCTCTTCCAAACTGTTGTTTTTATAGTCCACCAGTGTTCCTGGTTCTGTTTCCTATTTTTATTCTTTTTGTCTTCACCTGAAATTTTGGAGGGAGACTAGGTGTCAGTGTTCTTTCTCTGAAGCTTTCGAGTTCTAGGATGCTGCATAGTAAATGCTAGAAATAGTTACATGGAATGATTTACTTTTGATCTTGAATATCCAGGTTGCCTTAATTTCCCTCTTGAGGATATAGTACTTTTGAAATAATAGAAGGGAGGGCTAAGTATCTCAAACCAAATGGCAGGTCCTTGGAATGGTGGCTGTTGCTCTGAGGAATTGCATGCCATCTCAGCTCTTCTCACTGATGTAGATTCATACTTAGGATTGAGTGATGGGGGAAGTACTTCTGTGGATGTTTATCTTATTGATTGTTGAATAAAGCTCTGGCTAATGAAACAGCACGTTAGACAGGACTAGGCGCCAAAGAGGATTCTGGGAAATAAAGTAAAGAAGTGGTGTTCCAGGCAGGAAGTGACATAGCAAGGAGACTCATATTTAAGCAAGGAGAAACAGGAAATGTCCTTTTCCCCTTCATCCTCCAGTGGCAGGTTGTGAGCCACTGGCAAGAGAGGGTGCCAGCAAAAGGCATCCTCTATAAAGATAAGTCTTTTAACATATATAAATTTATGATAATTGAGACTGAGCTAACAGATGAGAAATCCTAGTCATTGGCCAAGCAGCATTGTACCTAATACAAGTCTCTCTGTGCATTAATTGGGGCCCTAACTCGGGCGGGCGGCTGGCATAGAGCATACATGGCTGTGGGGCTCGGCTTTTGGCGGCAAGATTTATCGCAACAACTCTGTCCCTGAGGCTCCTTTTATCTCAGATTGGCGTCCATTCCGTTTTCCTTTATATTTCACTCTCCCTTGTCCAGGTCACCAAAATTCAGTAAATTCTCATGACATTTGTCAGACATGTGAGTTCTGGGATTTAGAAATGGTGTCTGTTATTTCTGATCATGCTAGTGCCAACACAGACTAACAGGAGTTAACCTGAGTGGTGTTAGAAGAGCAGGCTGACTGGCATGCTGTTACTGTGGAGAAGAGAGCTTGTATTTCTTGGGAAACTAGAAATAACTCAGAAGTTCTCCCCTGTGGAGGTTTAGAGGTGGACAGACCTCACTTCTTCAACAGCATCATTGGAGAATTGTGGCTTCCTGGGAACCAGATGTTCTGGAATTTGAGAACTGTTTTAATTTGTGACTTGATTTTCAGTACACCACAGCAACATCTCCTGCCTCCTGGAAGTGCTGCCACACCCTGCCTGTTGCAAACACCCTAAGAAGCTCCAGGATTGTTATACTGAAAGGACAGCAGTCTTGAGGTTTTTCTAGCTCTTCCTTGGCCTGCTGTGTAGCCCAGGGACCTGAGTAGCATTGATGGTGTAAATGCAGACTGGAGTCTATTTTCATTGTATGGCTGTTCGGAGCAGTAAATACTGAGTATCAAATACAACACTGATGGTATTAGCAATTTTCACTCTGATTAAAATGTTTTTTCCGCTATCTAGGAAGGTTACCATGAGCCATGTGATGTCATTAAGTGTCAGAAGTTTGGTGCGAGATTAAGGAACTAGTTTTTTTTTATGTTTTTGTTAATTTATTTATTATTTTCATTTATTTTGTGAGACAAGGTCTCACTATATAACCCTTGGTTGGCCTAGAACTCACTACATAGACCAGGATGGCCTCTTACTCATAGAGATATGCCTGCCTGTGCCATGGTTTTTATTCTTAATCAATACTTAAATAGCCTTATGTTATTTAGGTTATTACTAGGTAACTGGACAGTTTGGCTGTAGTACACCATTGATTTCTATGTTTTTATAAGCCTGATAGTATTTCCTCTTGAAGTTCACCCACACATATCTAAATGAGAGACTAGAGCCCAATTTGATGTAGCTAGCTAGCTAAAAATGTTCTTCATGTATGCAAATATGCAGATTTCTGGGTGATGTTTTCAAATATTCTACCTTGAAATATGACTGCTCTTTGATTCTCAATGAGGTTACCTGCTAATAAACTCACCATAGGGTAGACACTATGCTAAGCTGAAAGTCCACTTAATAAACCTAAGTTATGGCTAGAGAGATGGGTTAGCATTTAAGATCTCTTGCACCTTGTTCAGAAAACCTGAATTCAGTCCCAGCATCCATATCAGATAACTCAAGCCCAACATCCTTATCAGGTAGTTTACAACCATTTAAATCCAGCTCCAGGGGATCTGGTGCCCTCTTCTGGCCCCTATGGGCACTCACACATTCACACACACAGATACACAGACACAACACACATATACACAGAATAAAAATATTTATTTATTTATTTATTTATCTATTTGAGACACAGTTTCTCTGTGTAGCTTTTCGAGCCTGTGTTACAGCTCTGGCTGTCCTGGAGCTTGCTTCATAGACAATGCTGGCCTGGAACACACAGAACTGCCTGCCCCTGCCTTTTGAGTGCTGGGATTAAAGGTGTGCATAACCACCTCCTGGCTGGACTTCCAATTTTTAATTTTGTCATCTTTCATTCTCTTCTATGAAGCTGCTTCATTGATACTCCCCAGGAAGTAGGGGAGGAGTAGCCCAGAAGCTATACAGGCTGAGTAGAAACTGAATCTCAAATAGAAAGAATTACAATTATCTCATTAGGAAAAGATTTTTACACTTTTCTGATCCAGACATGATATAAAGACCTGTAAACCTAGTACTTGGGAGACTGAAGCAGGAGGATTGCCATGAGTTCAGGGCAAGCCTGGGTACTGAGTGAGACTCTGACAAAAAAGAAAAACAAAAAAGAAAAATCTGTTTTTTTCTTTTACTTCTGTGGATTTTTACTTCTGTGGTCTTACTTTCTCCCTCATAAGATTGTTTCAAGCTTGGAAGGTTTCTTGGCTTTCTGTGGTCCTGCAATTTTATAAAATGAGATTACTAATTAAAATAGGGGTGTTGTGAGATCTGTTCCCTATAACAGAAGAATCTCAGCTGGCAGAGCACTAGGCTAGGGCATAGGTTCTTCATCTGTGACTCGTTTTTTTTTTCTTCAGGGCCCCTTACTTTTTAGGGGCTAATATGTTGGCAAAGGATTTGGATAGATTTTGCTAAATATCAGGGACTGATGTTTTAGGAGAACTTTTAAGGGTGGTGGTACTTTTGGACTCCAGAGATAATGTTGAGGTGTATAAAAGATGAAGTAAGGGATCAATGGTAGAGTGTTTGCCTAGCAAGTAAAAAAGCTGTGCCTGGGCGGAGGTGGTGCACGCCTTTAATCCCAGCACTCCGGAGGCAGAGGCAGGCGATCTCTGTGAGTTCGAGACCAGCCTGGTCTACAAGAGCTACTTCCAGGACAGCCTCCAAAGCCACAGAGAAACCCTGTCTAGAAAAAAAAAACAAAAAACAAAACAAAACAAAACAAAAAAGCTGTGGGTACAAATTTCTATTACTGGAGAGGAGAAAAAAGAGACCAGGTGTTATGGGATCTCCTACCCAGTTCCAAAGCCGCCTTGCCCCAAATGAACACACAGACACTATATTAATTAGGAAACTGTTGGCTGGTGGCTTGAGCTTTTTATTGGCTAGCTCTGTCTTAACTGTTAACCCATTTTTATTAATCTAAGTATTTCCACATGGTCTTATCTTACTAGAGAAGGGTCCGGACCTGTTACTCCACTACATGGCGACTCCTCTCTTATGCTTCCCTGAATTCTCCTTGTCTGATAGCTCCACCTATCCTTCCTGCCTGGCCACTAGCCAAACAGTGCTTTATTCATCAACCAGTAAGACAAACATATATACAGAAGGACATCTCCCATCAACCAGGGGTCTTTACACTGTAGCACTTATTGGCATTAAGTGGTCTATATTAAAAAATATCAATCTTGCCCGGCGGTGGTGGCACACACCTTTAATCCCAGCACTCGGGAGGCAGAGGCAGGTGGATCTATGTGAGGTTGAGGCCAGCCTGATCTTCAAAGAGAGTTCCAGGACAGCCTCCAAAGCCACAGAGAAACCCTGTCTCGAAACCCCCCCCCAAAAAATTAATTTGTAAAAATAAAAATGTGGTAAGGGGCTGGAGAGATGGCTCAATGATTAAGAGCACTGGCTACTCTTCCAGAGGACCCGGGTTCAGTTCCCAGCAATCACATGGCAGTTCAATACTGTCTGTAACTCCAGTTCCAGGGGATCTGATATCTTCACATTATTGCACATAAAATAAAGTTAAGTAGTTTTTTTTTTTAAATCTTTAAAGAACTGTGGTAAGAGTATTTCAAGAATTTAAGAATCAGGATGAAATGTGGTTCTTGGATTTGCTGGAGGAACAGGGATTATATACTCTTGAGTGAACAAAATTTCAAATTCACTGTACTGTTAAAACAATCCACAAAGGCCCTTTTCTTACAGTATAAACGTTTTAGATTCATCTTGTCAACTCTGGCTTATATTCAGGACCCATTGGCTTATGGGTGCTCCTTTGCTGGCATGGCCTGTTGAAGAGCTGGAGTTGGGTTGAGCAATGGGCCCCTGTCCTTGGTGCCCCTCTGTCCCTCCCTGCTGCTGTCCCTCTGCTTTCTGGAACAGGTCACTGTACAGTCCTTTCTCTCCAAGGAGGTGACGGCGCAACATCTTCTGGAAACATATCTGTGGTTGCTCCTGCCACCCCTGCAGGAGGTTCTCGCTCCTCTTCCCGGAACTTAGGATCTTCAGGGCCTGAGAAGGAAGAAGGAAAGAAGGTCCGGAGACAATGGGAGTCATGGAGCACAGAGGACAAGAACACCTTCTTTGAGGGACTATATGAGGTGAGCTGTAGACGTGAGACAAATCCCACAAGCAGTCATTGTTCTGAGTTCTCATTGTTTATCTTGTGTTTCCCTTTGCTGCATAGCTGTTAAGTGTGTAGGTTCAATCAAGGAGCCCCATAAGTGGCTAGAGCAGTTGTCATCTCATTCCTGCAGCTACTAGGATGAATCCCCTTTCCCAAGGCTCTCAATCATGTTTCATGCACACTTCTTGCCTGGAGTATGACCCTCCTTGGGGCCTTTTCTTCCTTGGCTATGCAGTGACTGATTTTGTGTGCCCAAGTACAGAAGGACAAACAGATACCTATCCCTATCATTCAGGAGATATTACAGCTAACTTAGAGCCAAATTCCCAGACCTACTGTCTACTGATATGGTTGTGCCTGGCCAGCTGCCTTCACTTGGAAGTTTGCTTCTCAGAGCCTTGGAGTTATTTATGAATACACTTCCGTTAACATCAGATGTGTTTTTCATTGTGATTTTTTTTTTGTTTTGTTTTTTGTTTTTTTTTTTTTGTTTTTCGAGACAGGGATTCTCTGTGTAGCTTTGGAGCCTATCCTGGCACTTGCTCTGGAGACCAGGCTGGCCTCGAACTCACAGAGATCTGACTGCCTCTGCCTCCCAAGTGCTGGGATTAAAGGCCCAGCCATTGTGATCATTTTTTAAGGATTTGTTTTAATTTTATATGTATGTGTATTCACATCACATACATTCAGTGTATCCCTCAGAGGTCAGAAGATTCCAGATACCCTAGAATTGCAATTACAGATGGTGGTGAGCTGCCACATGGGTGCTGAGAATTGAACCTGAGTCCTCTGGAAGAACAGCCAATGCTTTTAACTGCTGAATCCTTTTGCTTAGTAAATCAACAACAAATGTCTATAAATGTGCTGCAGCATGTCCATTCCTTTATGTACTGATTGTTGATCGAGTAATAGAGTTGACTGGTTGAGGTAGATTTGTCCCTTGAGTGTATATGTGTGTGTCTGTGTACCTTTGTGTGTCCATCTATCTCTAGGGTCTTGTGCATGCTAAACAAAGAATTTACTACCAGGCTGGTCCAGCCTATTTATCCATTCTTGTTTATGATTTTTTTTTTTTTATTCCTTGCAAGATGACTTCTTTGGCATGTTGACTTAATCATATCATGAGCCTTGTCCTCTTAATAGTTAATTCACTAGAGAGATGGATACACCTTGCCAAGTCTAGGAAGGACAAGCTTAACACAAGGATGAGGCCTAAGAATTTAAATCATGAAGTGTTTCCAGAAGATTAGAAAAGGAAACATTTCTAATGGACTATAGGCTTGGTTTCTATGGCTAGTATTGCTCCTTCCTGTGGCTGATAGACTAAATTCTGCCCCATTCCAGGTGGGTGTGACTGACATGTTCACATGATTCGACCCTTGTTATCCATAGAATGAATGAAATAGATGTATACAAGACTTGTTAGGGCAGTTGTAAAATCATTCAAACAGATGTGAAAGGGCTCTTTTTCAGAGTATAATAAAGCAGAGGCTCCATCTGTATAGATTATATCTTGCTATCAGGCATAGAAGACTTGTGATTCCTAATGGGTTGTAAGAGTGTGCAACTGTTAGTGAGTCCCCTCCCCCTCCCCAGGCAGGGTTTCTCTCTGTGGCCTTGGCTGTCCTGGAACTTGCTCTGTAGACCAAACTGGCCTCAAACTGCCATTCTTCAGGTGCACAGAGCATTTCCTCTAGTTGGCCTAACCTTGTTTCCTTTTCTAGCAACCAGGCATGAATTTTTAGGTCTCCTGATTAGTCCTATGTTACTAATGTTTTCTATGGTTGACAGGTAGAGGGAGAGAGGGAAAGAGTTTTATTCTAGTTTGGTTGCTGTTGCTCTAATAAACACCATGACCAAAAACAACTTGGGGAAGAAAGGGTTTACAGCTGCCAGGTCATAAACTATCACTGAGGCTTTGAAGTCAGGATAGGAACCCAGTCAAGAACCTGGAAGCAGAAACAGAAGCAGAAACCATGGAGGAACACTGCTTACTGGCTTGCTTTCCATAGCTTGCTCAACTAGCTTTCTGTTTATACAATTCAGGATGGTATACCCAGGGGCAGCACTGCCCATAGTAGGTTGGGCTCTTCACGTCAATCATCTATCAAGAAAATGGCCCATAGACAAGCCCACAGGCCAATACAATGGAAGCAATTGAGGGTGTCTCTACCTAGGTGACTCTAGTTGGTATCAAGCTGACAAAAATTAACCAGTCCAAGGGTTTGTATTTATGCCTCATGTCTCATTTGGAGTCTGACTAAAAGACCCTGGTGAGGTCTTGGGTCTGTTTGACCAGTGTAGGGCAAGTGTGGGATTAATGGTAGCTCAGCATAGACATCTGTTCTGAGAATTGTTTATATGATATTTGTCAGTGTGTGTGTGTGTGTGTGTGTGTGTGTGTGTGTGTGTGTGTATCCACACATGTAAGTATGAATAAAAGTGCTGGCAATTGAAACCTTTGTGTGTGCTAGACATGGTATTCCCTCACTGAGTAGATTTGCACACTCTCACTACCTTTTTGAGGAACCTAGTCTGACTTATTTACCACCAGTGAAGACCCAGCTCACAGCAACACTCCTGGCCAAGGAAGCTGAGTGGTTGTCCCGGCCCTGAGGGTGCAGGTGTCTGACCAAATGCAGGGACTCCACTGCTGTCTTGGTCCTGGACTTCAGTTTCTTCTCTCTTGCTTAATTAAGAAACCCACATCTCCAGCTGTGGTGAGGACAGTTTTGGGTCTGAACTCAGATTGTTTTTTCAAGTGATGGTTCATCTAGATGCCATCCTGTGTCTTAACAGTGAGTTCTAGTCCTTCTGCTAGAAGCTATTAAAGGTGGGCAGGCCAGTGTGCCCTGAATGGAAGGCACCTTGGACCTTGACTAAGTCCTTTTGGTTTCAGTGGTGTTTTTATATAAAGCCTACAACTGTGCTTTCATTTTATTTATTTATTTTTTTAAATCATTAATCCTTTTAACTACACTATGCTTAATTTACTTCATTGAGAACTGCTGTGGAGGCCTTGTCTCTGATGTGCTTCTCAAAGTTCCCTCCCCAGTTTCCCACAGATGCATAGGTATCGTGGTATCTTTGGCTTTTCACCGAGTAATTAATATGAGTTTTCACCACTTTGACTTTCAGTCTTTTTCTCTTCCAGCTTTGCCTAATTTTTGTTGTTGTTGAACCATTTATCAAGTTCATAACTGAGTATAGAACACGTGGTTCTAGAAATGCAGAGGTGCCTCAGGCCCTACCCTTCAGGGGCTACTGTCATATCAGAAAAATAGAACAGATACATGCAGGGTGATTGTAGGGCACATACTCAAATCCCATGGACAGTGTAGTTTGGGAATACAAGTTCAGAAGTTGTAAATAAAACAGTCAGGCCTCAGGACAGTGAGGTTGTTTGTATTAGTTTCCTATTCAACTTAATGGTTGCTGGGAAGCTAGGCCCCCAGCTAGACACAGGAAGGCATTTTAGACCCAACTTCACCTTTGCATGATTAGGTGCCTGTGTTATTTTCCTTTTATAAGATTGAGTCTCAGTCTGTTGCCTAGGCTGACCTCCAGTTCCCCACCCACTTAGCTTAGCCTTGGGTATCTGTTTCCTGTTAAGTTTCAAGTAAGTTCCTGAAGTTGCAGCTTCAAATCCCAATTCTCGACCCTAGATATTTCAGGATTTATCTCTTAAGAACAACTATGCCAGCACTCGGGAGGCAGAGGCAGACAGATCTCTGTGAGTTCGAGGCTAGTCTGGTCTATAGAGTGAGTTCCAGGTCAGGCTCCAAAACAATACAGAGAAACCCTGTCTCAAAAAAACCAAAAAAGAAAAAAAAGGGGGGGGAGGGGGAGAAAAAAGAAAGAAAGAAACAACACAGCAACACAAGTTACATTCTCAAATTCCAGCCACACCCAGGTTTTGCAGGAGGCCTTTTAGGAAGGGTTGGCCCTGAGGTATGGTCAGAATGCCTGTGTTTGGATCTATTCTATTCCCAAGTGTTTGTATTTGCCACTTCTGTTTGATCCAGCTTTCTGTGATAAAAAAACACAAGGTGGTTTTGGAGTGATCCATTCTTTAATTCTAAGATGCTTTGTGGTGGTAGCCTGAGTTCTCTTCCCATGGTATCCTTCTGTCTGCAAGTTTCCCTCATGGTCCACTAGGAGCTACTCAAGATGAAGCTGTTTGTCCCAGTGATAAATTTTATGCTTTTTTTCTTTCTTTCTTTTTTTTTTTTTTTCTTTTTGCTTTGAGGCTATTTTAGTTTATTTTATGTTGGCATTGGGCAGTTTATAAAAAACTGAAATCTCTCCTCTCCCCACTAGAGATTGAACCCAGGGTCATATATATTTTGTGACTGAACTATATCCCTAGCCAATAGTGGTAATTTATTTTTACATCTTAACAAGGAGAAACACTGTGTCCTCTCATGGCAGAAGGGTAAGCTATCGGAAGCTTCCTGAAGCTTTTTATAAGGGCCTAATTGTCACCAAAAGGAAGAAATTTTCGTTGCTTAATTACCTCTTTCGAGCCTGCCTTTTGATACCATCATATCTATAATACCTGAACTTTAGAGGGTACACTAAAAAAAAAAAAAAAAAAAAAACTGGCAAAGCCCTTGCCTCTGGTGTCCATGGGCAAGGATAGTTCTGACCCTGAGTTATTCTATTGCTAGTTTATTCTAATTAAAACTTGAGATTCTGCCGGGCATTGGTGGCTCATGCCTTTAATCCCAGCACTCCGGAGGTAGAGGCAAGTGGATCTCTGTGAGTTCAAGACCACCCTGGTCTGCAAGAGCTAGTTCCAGGACAGCCTCCAAAGCCACAGAGAAACCCTGTCTCGGAAAACCAAAAAAAAAAAAAAAAAAACTTGAGATTCTAAGGAAGCAAAGTTGGAATTTGTATGTGCAGAAGTATCTTGAAGGACAACCTTCTTGTGCATAGCTGGTCCCTTGTTGATTCTCGATGCCTACATCATACAAGAAAAGTTGTTTCATTTTAACTGTTGTGCTTTTATTGTGGACTTTGTTTCTAGCATGGAAAAGACTTTGAAGCCATTCAGAACAACATTGCTCTAAAATACAAGAAGAAGGGCAAACCTGCAAGCATGGTGAAGAACAAAGAGCAGGTCCGGCATTTCTACTACCGCACCTGGCACAAGATTACCAAGTACATTGACTTTGACAATGGTAAGTGTTCCACAGACTCAGTCTCTGGGAGACTCCCAGTCGGGGTTGATTCTTTCAGGCAAATACCCATTGCCCACTCTTTGTGACACCATCCTCACTCAGCTGCCCACTATGGGACTTGCCTCCCATTGCTTTGGTTGGTGGCCAAACTTAATTATGAGGAAGCTGCCTGCATCTGCATTATAGGGAATTTACTACTATTTGAGTTGGTTTTCTGTGTTTTAGTGTGTGTGTGTGTGTGTGTGTGTGTGTGTGTGTGTGTGTGTGTGTGTGTGTGTGGGGGGGGGGCTTTTCCTGGGAAGTAAAACACCACACATACCTACTCATCCCAGAGAGAGAGAGGGAGCCCATGACATACTAGACCAAAGTACCAATACCACCAAACTCCAATTTGGTGGGCCAGTGAATTTTGTGGGAACTATTTACAGGAGTATGAATGAAGGGTTACTTTCAGTAGCAGGATTGACTAAAGGCTGCATCACCCAAACCCACCCCAGCAGATGTGACAGCTTACCAAAGCTGGAATCCTGGAGCACACTGCACACCCTGAAATCAACTCAACAAGTTGGAAAACTTTTTCCAAGGTGACTTAGTTGGTCTGTGCCTTTTCCAGGAAGCTTTGCTGAGAATTCTTTATAGTTTGATTAGTCTGAGAGTAATTCTTAGTAATCTTTACTGCTTATATACTCTTGCAGAGGGAATCTAGCCTAGGAAATCTGGTCAATTTCAGGTACTTGCTCAAGCTATTTTGAGTTGTTCACTTCCTATCTAAATGGAGCTTCTGCACAGGAAGTACTTTACTTTCCCCCAGAACATCCTGTTGTAAACATGCTGTCCTAGACTGTATGTTGTTCACTTTCTCTTTATATCCTATGTCTCGTCAAGTTTCCCTCCCAAGATGGAGGAAGATTTTTACCTGGAAGGAAACTGCCTCACAGCAGAGGTTCTGGATCCCCCTACGAATTTGGGCATTGAGATTTAGCTGTGGGTGTACAAGAAGGCCTAAATTGTGCTGGTTTGCTGGGATGGATGTTGACTTTGCCAGTACTCTGATCATCTGTGTTGCAGTCAAGATTTGCACAGTCTAATTCATCTTTGGGAAGTGACTAGGTCATATCTAGCTGTTAGGCACGTTTCTAGCTAAAAGCACCCTGGGTTGACTACCTCTTCAGTCCATAGTCTAATCAATTGTCTCTCCCTGTAAAACTTAGCCACCTTCTTCTTCCATGTTTCTGGAGTCTTCCTGCACTCATTTGGTCCCAGCCTGCTCCATTCTGCCTTTCGTTTCTGCAGTTTCTAGAGCCTGCATGTTAGGGACCCTTCCCTTCTAATGCTCACTTTCAGTTTTCCAGATAGTCAAGTTTCTGACCTGGGAATCACTAATGTACAGCTGTGGCCACATTGCTCCTACTTCTGATCCCTGCCTTTGCCTTCATGCTGGCATTTGAGACCTCTGATCTTTACCATTCTTGTGGTGTGCTTTTTGCCAGGTCACAATATTTTGGCTATGATGTGCATTGTGTTACTATAGCTTTAAAAGAAAGTTCCTGATTCCCCATCTGAGTGAGGAGCAGAGCTCTGTGAGGCCACACACCCTTCTGCCTCTTGTCTGTTCTCTAGAAACCCCTGTGATTACATTGTCAATCTCCCTACCTGGGGGCTATCTCCCTGTTGATCTCAGGATATTGTTGATGCCTGTTTGTTAGCTTCTATAATTCATATGACCATCAACATAAGATTTTTCTGCAGACTTCAGGTCAACCCCATTTTGTTCTTTTTCAGTTACCAACACTGCTGTGTGTTCCATAACTGGTTTGTTTGCTTATCTCACCACTAGTCCAGTCACCTGAGATCCAAGGCTGTCATCATTCATGTCCTATTGTAGTGAAACATCTGTACCTTCCAGATGCACTGTTTATGTACTTTTTCTTTTCTTGTTGGAGTGCATATTAAGTTCTGAAAGTCATTCCAAGACAAAGGATACTCCAGCTGCTCTTGAAGTCTCCTCAGAGAGAAGATGACTAATGAGTTAGGGTTGAAAGACTGTTGTGGATCAAGTTATGCCTTGTGTGATGATTGAGTGTGTCTGGTTTGTTCACCAAGCTCTACCTTCAGGCATTATGGATGGTACAAGCTTAGGTGTTGTCCATGGCCCTGAGACATAGATATTCCTTCCCAGGGTCTGCTAAGTCTGAGATTTTTTCCCATGGGTTAATATTGCAAAGTATATAAAGCTGATGTTCCTTTTCTTTTACCTTTCTCTGCAGAACTACCTCCTGATCCCAAGTCCCTCAGGCTCCTTGCAGCATCATTCCTTTTAGGTCTTTATCCCATCAGGGATAAAGATAGAGGCTTCAGCACATTGTCGGATTATACCAAACTGTATCTTTCACTTCCTTATGTGGTGACCCAGCATCCCTCATGCCTTCCTCTGTCCTATTGACTGCATAGTCATCACACATGAAGGGCCCTTTGTTGTTCTAGGCTATCCTTGAACTCAAAGATCCACCTACCTCTGCCTCCCAAGTACTGGGATTAAAGGTGTGTGATACTACCACCCTGATACAAGGGGCCATTTTTATATGTGTTTATGGCTCTCCCAAGGTTCTGTTGAGCCATGATTGAATACATGCAGTCAGTGGCTACTCACTTGCCTCTATGCCAGAAAGAGGATTCTCAACCAGGCTCCTTGATATGGATCAACCTTTATAGCTGGCTTTGGACCTCGGGGAACCTCAGGTCAGGGGTCACTAGTGTGTTTTGAATTGCCTAGTGTCCCTGTTGGGTCCTTGTGTGCTGTTATTTTCCATCATGTAGAATAACACAAGACCCTTGAATTTCAAGCATTATTAACAGAATTAACAGAAAAAGTGTTCTATCCTTGGGTTATCATGGAGCTTTGCTAAGAACCAAAGCAGATATAAGGAGGGCATGTGTTGTGTCCTGGAGTCTGAGATGACCAGTACTGGGTACTTGCAAAGGCAGGTCATCACTGGGAATATAAATCCCTTTTATCGAGGCTCAGTGCTCTGGCCTCTGTGTGCTTCATCTGGAATTTTAGTAGTTTTACAGTCCTTTATTGTTTCCACACAGAAAACAGGTCCCTGATGGTTGCTTCTAGTGTTCTTGGAAAGAGAATAGTGACTATATGCCCACCTTTCTGCTATTGTCCCCTGTCACATTTGAGTTTTCTCCCAACAGACTTGATGTGCTAAAAGGGAAGCTCTGAGCCTGTACCAATATGTACACACTAGCCCAACACTCCTTGTGAAGGAACATAGGAAACCACTATGCCTGGGGACATTTTTTTCTCTCTAGGGTTTCCATTCCCCAAGCTTCAGCTACTTTTCTACACGTTTTGTTGTTGCTGCTGCTGCTTTTTTTTTTTTTTTTTTTTAATCTATTTAACTTTATATTGGTGTAAAGGTGTCAGAAGCCCTGGAGTTACAGACAGTTGTAAATTGCCATGTGGGTGCTGGGAATTGAACCCTGGTTCTTTGGAAGAGCAGCCAGTGCTCTTTCTTAAACCACTGAGCCATCTCCAGCCCATTTTGGTTTTTTAAGGCAGGGTTTCTCTGTATACTTGTAGCTGTCCTGGAGCTAATTCTGAAGACCAGGCTGACCTCAAACTCACAGAGGTCCATTTGCTGCCCCACTCCCCCCTCACCACCAGTGCTGGGATTAAAGGCATATACCACCACCACTAGGCTTATTTATTTATTTATTTATTTATTTATTTATTTATTTATTTATTGTGTGTTTGTGGGGGCCTTTTCTTCCTTTGGTATTTCAAATAGTGGACTTTAAAAAAAAATATTTTTGTTACGATATGGTCCACTTACCCTAAAACTCTCCTTTTTTTTTTTTTTTTTTTTTTTTTTTTTGTGACCCTTTTTTTTTTTTTTTTTTTTTTTTTTTTTTTTTTTTTTTTTGCATTTGGTATATCCATGATGTTCTGCCTTTGTCTAGTTCTAAAATACTTTCATTACCTCAGAGAAGTCCCCATTCCCATTAACCTTCCTATAGACTTTGACCCTCCCCAGTTGCTATGGCCACTTTCTACAGTCTTTGAATTTATCTGTTTTGGATGTTTCATGAAAATGGTCTTATAGCTTACCTGGTCTTTTTCTTTTTCCTGGCTTCTTTGACTGAGTGTGATTTTATGGTTCACCTATATATTTTAGTGTAGCTGCATAACATTCCATCATATTTATAGGCCACTTTTTTTGTTTTGTTTTGTGTTTTTTGAGACAGGGTTTCTGTCTGTCCTGGAACTCACTGTGTAGATCAGGGTGGCTTTGAACTCAGAAATCCGCCTGCCTTTGCCTCCCCAGTGTGGGTATTAAATGCATGTGTCACCACACTGAGCTCCATGGGCCACATTCTTGTTATCCATTGAGATCTTAGGTTCCTTTTGAAAGTCTGACATGGTCTTGGGGTTTTTTCCCCTCAGGAAAACCTTCAGAATTGGTCAGCCCTAGTATTTTAGCGTCTTTGAGCTAGTCCACGTCCCAAAATTGTACTCATGTATGCATTTCCTGTTTTATACAGCTGAATGCTAATGCCTCCAGGTCTCTGAGGAGAGAACCAGAAAAAGCAGTTAAGATTTTGCAGGGGCCATTTTTCTCTACTCTGTGAGATGACCTAACAGTACCTAGACTGCTGTTGGTGGCTTCAATGTGCTATGATGTACAGTATCTGTTGAAACAGTGGCTAGCATGCAGGGGCCACTCTCCTTTTCCTGGGTGTAAGAACTCGAGCTCCCCAGGCATGCTCTGCTATCCTCTGTGTACTGGGGTGTACAGGATGGCTCCAGGCTAAAGCCCTTGAGGAACAAGATGAGGGAGCAGGCCAAAGTGTAGCTTCTTTCCATCTCAGCTTTTCAAAGGAGCCTGTGAAGTTTCACACAACAGTCCTGGTTTCCATATTGAACCATGTCCCTAATCGTTTTCTTCCTAAATACAGCTGGCACCTATTTCACCTGGGGAGGGCATAGGCAAGTGGGAAGGTGGGTTCTAAGGGTTCAGGCCGATGGCTCACCTGCACTCAGGGAACTCTATACCATAAAAGGTGTTATGGTGCTGTGTAACGTGAACTTTATGGCCTGGCACATCCCGCTGCCCTTCTTTGCCCCAAATGAACACACAGACACTATATTAGTTATGAAACTGTTGGCTGATGACTAGGGCTTCTTATTGGCTAGCTCTGTCTTAATTATTAACCCATTTCTATCAATCTATAGATTGCCACAAGGCTGTGGCTTACCCGGTAATGCCCCGGCATGTTGTTACTCCTTCGGCAGCATCGTGACTCTGGCTGTGAATGGAGGAGTAATTCTGGAATGGTGAAGCCACAGGGGATTCGACTTTGGAGAGGCTTCTGAGATATGCTGTGAGGGAGCTGCTAGTGGCAGCATTCTGCCGGGTCCCTGCCTGGTTCCATTTGAGTTCTACCTGTCCGTCTTCGGTTTTCCTCTGAGGCCCATTCTTCCACTGGAGTCAGGGAGGGAAAAGAAATAAGAAGCTTGTGGCAACCAAGGAGCCATGGTTACCGACCTGCCGCTACTCTCAGGCTCCCACGGCCCCTGCGCCTCCGGGGAGTAGCCGGGGTTTGAAAGCACCTGACATGTCCTAAGTAACTCAGAAATAATTGTTTGGAACCCATGTCGAAGGAAGGGCAACGATGATTACAGCTGGGGATTTGCAGGACTTTGTTCCTTTTAGTCTCGACCACTGCAAGTACCACCCTAATGCATTGAACCTTCAACTTCAGCCAGCCTCTGAATTATGGTCCTCTTGATGGTGCAGCTGGTTTGGTGGGGTCTCTTCAGGAGGTTACAATCCACAAGAAACAGAAGTTGGCAGTTAAGAAAAGGTATGAGTGAGATTGGAGATGCAGCTGACTCGATGAAGAGCTGTATGTGGCTGGGAACGTGGTTATCTGGAGCAAAGGGAGTAAAAGTCAGGCACTGGCAGTGTACAAAGCATTCACAGTGGACAGCACTGTCCTGCAGGCATTGTGGTTAGTGACTTCATTACACCACAGGATAAGTCTGAAAAGACCCACAAGAGCCATGAAGTAGAGAACTGCATATGTACATTACAGATCTCATGTACGAACATGCAAAAAATAGAGGGGAAAGTTTATGTAGCTTCCTTACCATTTCAGGTGGCAAATGTTTGGGCCACTAAATAAGGTTTGCTGCTCAAATGAAGCAGTTCTTCACATGAGGTGCCTCTAAGTCTACCTAGAGAACCTTTGCCTACTATGTTCAGCATGCTACACCCGCTAGATGAAATAACTCCACTTGTTTGTAAATCTGGAAGCCTTTTTTGGCTCATCATGGTTTCAGTATGTCATAGATCCTGCAATGAAAATTGTGTTCCTCAATATCGACCCCTCCATTGTAATGGCCTATGATGCTGTTCAGAATGTGCATTCTGTATGGACTCTGCAGAGAATAAAGCCAGAGGAAGAGAATTTTGTTTTGAAGTTCTCTGAGCAGGCAGGGACCTTTCAGAATGCTGCCACTCACAGCATATCTCAAAAGCCTCTCCAAAGGTGATTCAATACCCTGTGGCTTCACCATTCCAGAATTACTCCTCCATTCACAGCCAGAGTCGTGATGCTGCCAAAGGAGTAACAACATGTCAGGGCATTACCAGGTAAGCCACAGCCTCGTGGCAATACATAGACTGATAGAAATGGGTTAATAATTAAGACAGAGATAGCCAATAAGAAGCCAACATCTTTATAATTGATATAGCTTCTGTGTGTTTTTTGGGGGCTCTAGGGCTGCGGGACCCCTGCCAGGCCAGAAAACTCACATCAACAGTGCTGGCCATTCAGTTCTTTTTCCCCTTTCTCTGAGAACAAGCCATTTCTTTTCCAGGAGACATTTGCTCTACCTGTCAGGAGTAATGTTTAGACCTTGTTTTTTAGATTTTTACTGACAGTAAAGCAACACTATTCCTCATGCTTTTTGCCAGTTTCTTCAGAGATCAGCAACTACATGTCCAAGTTGCTGTGATCCATATGTGATCAGTCTAAGCCTCTTGAGAGTGTGCTTCCGTTGTTCTTGTACAAACAGACTGTACCCTGTGATGTCTCTGTCCCTCCCACCTAAACATCTGTACTTTTATCTTCCAGTGTTCTCTCGAGGGCTAAAGAAATCATCCCAGGAACTCTATGGTCTTATCTGCTATGGAGAGCTACGAAAGAAGATCGGGGGTTGTGAGTACTATTGCTGTTCTTGGATCATCATAGTGGGTTGTTGTCCTCGTCACCGCTGATCTTTATTGCATAGGAATGCCTGTTTTCTCTCCAACTTTTATGTTGAAATTTTTTTTTGACAACAGAAAAGTTGTAAAAAAGATATGATGACTATTCTTTCATGTAGTCTACCATGTTTGTTTATGCTTTTCACATAGGCTTACACACACAGGTGCAGTTTTTCCTCACTGTCATGTAACTGTACATCTTCATCTCATACTCTAAAGACCTCAGTCCTATGACCTGAAGTAGACACTTCTACACACCACCTGTCATGATTGCAGTCATTTCAAACCTATCAAAGGGTGCTTTTCCTGCTAATTTCCTGCCTATATTCAGAGTCTTTAGAACATCCCCAAGTGATGTTCAAGTCCTTGCCCAGGACTACTGCCCCATATGCAAAGCCATGGTGATTGGTTGCTTTTTTCTGCCATGACTGCCTAGCTGAGCCAGCATATGACAGGAGCCTTAGTTCTGGCTGAATCTTCATAGGTCCTAGCCTGACTGCACCTCAAGGCTGCTTGTCCTTATCTTAGCCTGTGGCCCTGGCACAGGCATCTGCTAGATGTGATGTCCAGGACTTCTCACTTTCCCCCCCCCTTCCTCTCCTTTCTTCCTGTTTCTTCCAGGACATGTCTCATAAGGTCCCATCTAATTGGTTTGGCCTCCTCCACTTGGGCATCACTCGTAAGCCACCTCTGTAGAACCTGCTAGACACAGGACTGCCATGACTTTCCTCTTCATTAACCCATCTTTTGCAGATGTGAGCTCTACTGTCCCCGTTGATACATGGCTGGGTCTCCTTGACTTAAACTCTTTTGTTCTCTCTCTCTCTCTCTCTCTCTCTCTCTCTCTCTCTCTCTCTCTCTTTCTCTCTCTTTTTTTCCCCCTTGTTTTGTGGTAGTACATGAAGAGGTTAGTTAGTGTCCATCTAAGAGCCATGGTGTGCCTTGCTCTTGCAAGACCATGCCTACATTTGCCTTTTTCAGTATTCTTCCTCCTTTCCTGAAGGCCCATTTCCACCTGGGCCCTTCAGAGTGAGCGCTTCCTTTACTTTCTGTGGCGCAGTTTTACCAGCATTGAATCCTTTCACTTACTGTTCATCTGAAAAGCCTTCATTTTGTTTTCATTCTTTTTTTGTTTTTCAATACAAGGTTTTTTTGCGTAGCCCTAGCTATGTCCTGTAATTCACTTTGTAGACCAGGCTGTCCTCAAACTCAGAGATCCATATGCTTCTCCTCCTGAATGCTGGGATTAAAGACTTAACACCACCAAGCCCAGCTCTGTTTTCATTCTTTTTTTTTTCTCTGTGGCTTTGTAGACTGTCCTGGAACTAGCTCTTGTAGACCAGGCTGGTCTCAAACTCACAGAGATCCACCTGCCTCTGCCTCCCGAGTGCTGGGATTAAAGGCGTGAGTCACCAACGCCCAGCTTCTGTTTTCATTCTTAAAAGAAGTTCATCAGAGTAGAATTCTGATTTGTCTGATTTTGTTTTTTGTTTGGTTTGGTTTTTTCTTTTTCTTCTTTAATCATGTTTATAACTGTTCTTCAGTGTCTGTCCTGCACTGTCTATGATAAAAAGTCCTGTAAGTCCTTCATAGGTGCAGTACATCTCTGGCTGCTTTTACAATTGAATTCTTGTCTTTGGTTCTCTGCCTGGGTGAGTGATTGTGATCCCACTATTACTCAGTCACTCAATACTGTTAAGGAATTTTACAGTGTGTACCCCAATGCCTAGGTTCTTGTGTTATCTTTTTAATTCTTTCTTTCCTGTGAAGACATGATGAGGGCAGAGAAACTAGGGCATTAGAGTCATCTTTGTTTGTTTGTTTGTTTTTGTTTTTCAAGACAGGGTTTCTTTGTGGCTTTGGAGGCTGTCCTGGAACTAGCTCTTGTAGACCAGGGTGGTCTTGAACTCACAGAGATCCACCTGCCTCTGCCTCCTGAGTGCTGGGATTAAAGGTGTGCACTACCACCGTCCAGCTTAGAGTCATCATTTAACAGACCTTGCAGTTCCAGTTATATACCTGAAAGTCCACATACAGTCAGTCATCAGGGGAAAAAGGCCCAGGACCCAGTGAGATACCTGAAGGAAGCAGTATGGGAGTTGTGGTTCAGCAGTACTAGACTATCAGCCACAGTTTCTAGAAGAGGTTAGCTGTACAGGGAGCACATTAGACCCTTGAGACAATGGTTAAGAAGAGGCTGTGTGGGACAGACAAGGTACTGGTCAACTTCACTGCAGATGCAGATTCTTTAAGATACAGAACATTCATTCGTAAGATCTGGAGTCTGTGTGGAAGGCAATAATATAGGAATTGTGATTGTTTACTTCTAACTACCCCATGGCCTCATTTATTTTTCTTTACATTTAAAGGTATGGATGACAAGAATGCAACAAAGTTGAATGAGCTCATTCAGGTTGGGTAAGTACAACTGTCTGTGTATGCTGTTCATGCATCGAACTACAGAGGTTGAAATATGTGCTGTTTTCCTTCATTTTCTTTTATAATTTTATTATTGTGCATATTGTGTGTAAGTGCTGATGTGTTGTGGTGCTTGTGTGGAGGTCAGAGCATAGCTTTCAGCAGTCACTTCTGTGGTATCCACTTACTGAACTCAGGTCATCAGATTGTGTAGTGTTCTAATTTGCTTTTTGTTCTGATGGACACAATGACCAAAAGCCATTTCGGGGAGGAAAGGGTTGATTTGGCTTACACTTTAAGGTCACAGTCCATCACTGATGGATGTCAGGGCTGAAACTGAAGGAACCATGGAGGAATGGTGCTTACTGGCTTGTTCCCTGCTGAAGAATGATTCTACCCACAGTGGGCTGGGCCCTCACATTTCAGTCATCAGTGAAGACCGTTACTCACAGATACAGCTACCAGCCAGTTTGATCTGGGCAGTTCTTCAGTTCACATTTCCTCTTTCAGGTGACTCTTGGTTGTATCAAGTTAATGATAAAGACATTAATTAGGACACAGGGCAGATATTTTTATTTGCTCACCCTTTTAACTAGCCCTCCAGTTTCTTGATCAGGACCCACACAATTATACCTTGTTACTGTCATCTTAGGCCTGTGTTTTTGTTCCCACAGATGTTCCTTTTGTGCCAACCCTTGCCTGTGGCTCTGTGTACAGATGGCCTGGGCTTGAATTCTCTTTCCTTAATACTTTGATATGTTGGCTCCTGGGCTGCTTTGGGTGGACTCTCTTGACTTTCAACTCTTAATCTGGCTCTCTTGACTTCCAGAACTTATATGTTATCTCAGTGTCACAAGCCACCAAGATATTTTCAGCTCATTGTTTTTGACCTTTTCTGTTCCAAAGATACCATCTACATCAGGGTTGAGTATAGAGATAGCATACTGCCTTGTCTTCAGGGTTCCTCCATTGAGTGCACCAGCTGACTTGGATGATAGAGTTAACATTTTAATCCTCCCGAGTCCTCTTGTGTTCTGCTTGTCTCTGGAGTTTGGTACATAGGTCAGTAAGATCTTACCCTGAGCCTCTCTTTAGTTTCATACCCACCCTGTGTAGTCTCTTGGCTGCTCCAGAACATGTTTCTGCACATGTTTTTGTTGTTGTTGTTTGTTTGTATTATGAGTTTCTTCAGTTTTTCCAAAGGTCTCCGTGAACTTTCCTGGTTGAAATTAGCTACAGGGTTCCATATCTAGTTTGGGGCCCTCGTGAAAGCTCTTTTTTTCTCCCTCTAATTCTCCATCTGGGACTTAGAGCTTAACCTTCCTTCTCTTAGCACCACCCCCCCCCCTTTTTTTTTTTTTTTTTTTTTTTTTTGGCAAGGCTGAGTATAGGCCTGTTATAGGAGCTTTTTTGGGAAGATTGGTGCTCATGAGGTGATTATTCTTATGGTCTTATCAGTAGGTGAGAAGTGGCCCTTGAGGCCTAGTACCACCCCTGTGATTTGATATAATAGGAGCATATCTTCCCTGATTTTATTTCAGAATTCACTGATTTAAACTATGGGTGATTTTTTGTTTTTATAACAAGGCTACTATTGATGGGATTCACCTGGCCTACTATAGTACCTTCCTGGAATAGATAGATCAAATGGCTATAGCGGGTTCTGGGTGTTGTTGATGGGATGAGTGAGTGTTCACGTCAGCATGGGTTGTATCTTGTGGTAAGGAGATGAAACACTGATTCCTGGCTAGGCCAGTATCCTAGAAAAACTTCTGAGTAGCACTAAGGAAACTGATAGGCATCTCCCACTCTTACTTGATGGACACCTCAACTGGTACTACCCCACCATATACCATGGTGTTCTAATAGTGTGTGCAGAGATTTCTGTTTGAACCTCTGGGCAAGTTGAGGCAGAAAGTGTATACATTATACTCATCCATTGGAAATGTCTAAGTGACTGTATGCTATCATGAGAGGGTGGGTGTTATAGTGGAAGCATTGCACCAGAGGCAGGTCTACAATTAATGACCCTTCTGTGCCTTTGTGTGCCTATGTGCCTGTGTATATCTGTAGAACATTACATTGAAATGATAGCTATGAGTAGGTAACAGGAAGGGATCCCATCTTGAATATCTAGGGACAGCTTTCTGAGGTATGATGTTTAGGCTGGGGGTACATGAGGTGCAAAGACAATGGCTACAGAAGAAAGGCCAGGAGTAGCTCTAAGTCTGGTGGGTTGGGACAGGCCCTGTCCTGCTGCATTGCACAGGGTTTCAGTGGTCTTCAGTTATTTCTGGAAGCTAGATCAGGCAAATCAGGAAAGTCCTGGGTAAACCATTCCTTTGGCTCCTATGAAGAGTTAAGTTAGGGATGCATGTTAAGATTGGCATTTAGTGGTTTTGTTTGTTTGTTTGTTTAAAGTTTTATTTGTTGTATGTGTTTGCCTATGTAGATGCATGTTCATACCCTGGTGCCCACAGAGGTCAGAAGAGGGTACTGGATCCCTGGAACTGAAGCTACAGATAGTTGTGAACCACCATATGGGTTCTGAGAATCGAACTTGGGCCTTCTGAAAGAACAAGTGCTCTTAACCACTAAGCCATCTCCCCAGCCCCTTACTTGGTGTAGTTATATTTTACATATAGTTATATGAGTTTGACATTTGGGGGTTTACATATTTTATTGAATTTAGTAGCTTTTACATTGATTTTATTTTTTAAGAGTAGTTTTTAAGTTTATAAGAAAATTTTGAGCCGGGCATTGGTGGCGCACACCTTTAATCCCAGCACTCGGGAGGCAGAGGCAGGCGGATCTCTGTGAGTTCGAGACCAGCCTGGTCTACAAGAGCTAGTTCCAGGACAGCCTCCAAAGCCACAGAGAAACCCTGTCTCAGAGAAAAAAAAAAAAAAGAAGAAGATAGAAAATTGTGTAGAAGGCTAAAGGATAAGATCCTGCTCAAGGCCCTGGGTTCCATTCCTAGGATATCGAAAATAGCATTATTACAATTGATGAACCTGGTGGCTTGTTCCTTAAATCCCAGTTCCTGGAATTTGAAGCAGGAGGATCATGCTAAGGCAGACAGTTATGGTACCTCTTCTAATGCTTCATCATTATTGACTGTGGTTTTTGTTAGGGATCTTGGTTTCAGGTGTGTTTAAGGTTGCACAGATGTACAATAAAACACCTCCCTCCCTACCATTACAATTTCATTCAGAATACTTTCTCTGCCCTAAAAAGCTATTATCTGCTGTCTCTTTGTCTCTCCCTTTACTATTTTAGAGGTCTGCTTTCCATTGAGCATCATCTGATTGTAGTTAACTAGCATACAATCTGTTTAGATTGCCTCTGCCATTTTTGGCTCTGTGAGTTTAACAAGAACACATAGCAGGGAATGTCTAGCCCATGCCTAACTCTGGGCCACCATAGTGCTACTCTTTATAATGCCTTCCTTTTCTGAGCAGCTGTTCGTTTGGGACCATCATATAACCTGTGAGATTGGTGGTTCTCTTTAAGCAGTGTGCATAGGACACTCTGAGGCATTGTACAGAGCTCCACAGCTCATTGCCTTCCCCTGCCCAGTGGAGTTAGTAGCATGAACATACCTATCTGTTGATCTGTCCGTTGTGGAGTATTACTGGGTTATTTAGGGTTTTTTAATGTTTATGAAGGAGTAACTCTAAATCTAAGTCATGAGGTTGTTTTGTGAGCATGAGTTTTTATTTCATCTGGGCATCCCAAGAAGAGATGTGAACATGTATCTGTCTTTATTAGAAACTGTCTTCAAAAGCCTGGTCCAGGTGCTTCCATGCTCCCAAGGACTTCTGATATGTCCAACTTGGTATGAAATTGCTTTGAGTTTATTTCTTTGGTGATCAATGGCATTGAGCATGAGTTTTTGTTGTTGTTTCTACATCTGTGTGTGTGTGTGTGTGTGTGTGTGTGTGTGTGTGTTTGTGTGCACGCGCTCACATGTGCATGTGTATTCATGTTTTGTTTTTAAATCCCAGTCCCTTACAGGGCTCTTGTTGGAGAAGCTTGTTGAAAAATTGACTCCTCCATCCTTTATTACTCTCTTTAAAATATTCTTCCTGGTTCCCCTTCTGTGTCACTGTTAGTGCTCTATCACTTTTTATCAGTGTGTTTCACTTGGTATAAGGTAATTTAATAATTTTGAGTTACTAAAATATGTGGTTGCTTAGAGACCTATTTCCTGTGAATTATTCCTCCAGATGGAAAGTGAGTAAGGGGTGCTAGCCTCCTTGGGCTCTTCTTGCTCCCTTAGTCAGGCTTTCTTATTTTTAGCTTTGCATTTTGGTATTTAGCATACAGAGGTAGTTTGGTCCTTGGGTGGTGTGTGCATATGGGGTGCATATGACAGATGAAATGATGGGCAGAGGGATACTTAGGATTGATGTAAAGACATTTAAGAGGACAGTTAAGCAAATGAATCAGTGGATAGAAGAATGGCTGGTTGAGGGATGGATAGATAGATAGATAGATAGATAGATAGATAGATAGATGTATACAAAGATATGTAAATGATTGGGCAGATATAGCATAGATGGATGAATGTGCTAATAGGAGTTAGATAGATGGAAGAATAAATATAAATGCATGGATAGACTCACAGATGGAATAAGGATGAGTGAGAGAAAACATGGACAGATGAGTGGGTACATGGCTTAGTGTGTGGGTGGGTAGGAAAATAGATGCTTGGCTAAGTAAATAGATATTCAGGTGGAAGGGTGAGTGTATAAGATTGTAGCTGCCTTAGCATGAGGAGTTACTGAGCTTTCTGTGTTGAATGATTGTACCCATCTCCCATTTGAGACCCCACTGTTTGAATTGTCTTATGAGTACTTGCTGAAAACCTTAAAAGTGTTTGGAGCCAATATGAAACCACTATGCAGGGTTCTGAGACTTCATAATGCTAAAACCTGAGCCATATTCCTTTTCAGGATAGAGGTATGTGGTATAGCACTTCTCTCCTGACTTTAGGCCTAGTTGTCTCCTGCTTTACATGTATATCTTTGAATTGCTTTTTTAATCAAATATTGTATCAACAGACCCCTTTCCACTGCTTGTTCTGTTTAAAGCTATAGTTCAGTTTTTTTTTTTTAAAGATGTATTTATTTATATATACAGTGTTCTGTCTACATGTGTCCTTGAAGACCGGCACCAGATCTCATAATGGATGGTTGTGAGCCACCATGTGGTTGTTGGGAATTGAACTTAGGATCTCTGGAAGAACAGTCAGTGCTCTTAACACTGAGCCATCTCTCCAACCCCCAGTTTATATTCTTATCTGCAGATGTAAGCAGCATTATCTGAGAACAACATTTTTTAAAATTATATAAGTATAGTATAAATACATTGTGAAAGAATATCTTTTTTCTTAGATAGTTTTAAACATGCAAAATCAGCTGGGAAATCAGCACTTGGGAGGCAGAGGCAGGTAGATCTCTGTCAGTTTGAGGAAAGCCAGTGCTCAGGAAAAAAGAAATATAAAATCAACAGCTAGCCCATCTCCTTCCTCTCAACTAAAACTTTCCTTAGGGAATTTACATGAATGAACACTTAGAAGCAAATATGAATCTGTACTAGTATGACTATATCATTCCTTCCACATCTTTAGAATCACCTCATGTATATTCTGCCACTTTCCTGCATATGTCTTAGAAATTAAAAAGCAAGAATAGAAGCTGCTCTCATAACTGACATGCTCACAGCTGAGAGTAGGTCAGTTAAAAAAAGTGGGGGAGGGGAGTCCAAACATACTTCTTTAATCCTGCAGGAGGCAGAGGCAAAGGCAAGGAGATCTCTTTGAGTTTGAGGCCAGCCTGGTCTATATTGTAAGCTCGAGGACAGCCAGAACTACAAAGTGAGACCTGTCTAACAACGATGGGTTAAAGCAAAGAGGCATAAAGTGATAGTGAGTTTGAACATGTTATAAAATGCAAGCATGTATTCCTTCCCCTGTAGAAAAGGCCAAAGCCTTTTCTTCAACCTGGATCTGCTTCAATCTGCATCCAAAGCACATCATTTGTCTTTTCATATTCAAACAGTGGAAACTCAATAGTCAGACTGATCAATCTTAACTTTTGGCTGTCATGTTCACTGTCTGAAAACCAGCTACCTTTACTGAGTGCTTTGAAAGCATTCAGCTATGGGTTTTTTGTTTATTTGTTTTGTTTTTGCTTTGTGTTGTTTTGTTTTTAAAGGAGCTCTCATCTTCATTTCAGTAGCCAAACAATATTTCTGTATTGTATATAATTTCTAAGCTACTGCAGCTCCAGCAAAAGACCTTGGCTAGCCTAAGGTCTTGTGTTTGGGCCTGTGACACCTAACTCTAACTGCTTATATCCTTGCCCTACTGTATGGATTATAGGGGGTTGAGATTACCCTGCTGTGGCAAATTGGTCATGAAGAGTTCACAAAAAGTCATGTAAAGGTGGGTAGGCAGGTCAGGTGGAAGACATACAGAGGTGGCTATGGAGTTTCTGTTTTAAGGCTCTAAGGAGGAGGAATGCTTAAAGGTGGGGTGAACAGAGCAGCTCAACAGTGAGCCTAGCTGTGTGTGACATTCAGTAGTCATGCTTTCATCACAGTTTGCTTCCTATAAATAGCACATGTCCCTTGGTCTGGAAAGTAGCAGATATCTAGAGATCCTGCCTCTACCTACTATCAGAGGTGACCATGACTGACAGCATAGGGTTGGATGCTCACCAGGCCTTCCTGTTTACCACACTTCAGACCTGATAACCCTTCATGTCTTCCATTCACATAAAGTTCTCAGCATTGCTTCAAATTCTATTCCAGGGCCACCACAGTACGTTATAAAGGGAGAAATCTGCGGATCAAGGCACCCATGTGTCGAGCCCTAAAGAAACTCTGCGATCCAGATGGTAGGTGGCAGGAGAAGGGGTGGCATATATTGTAGCTTCCATGGTTGTTTTGTTCCATCCCACGATGGGCAGGCTATGGTACTTTGTGACTGACTGTTTAACCATCTCCTGTGAATAGACAGGGGTGGGGTTTGTTTTTTTGTTGTTGTTGTTTGTTTGTTTGTTTTGTTTTGTTTTGTTGTTTTTTGGTTTTTGTTTTTTGAGACAGGGTTTTTCGGTGTAGCTCTGGCTATCCTGGAACTCACTCTGTAGACCAAGCTGGCCTCAAATTCAGAGATCTGCCTGCTTCTGCCTCCCAAGTGCTGGTATTACTGAGTTTGACCCTTCCTAGGGTTCCTCTGTTCTTCTTGTTTCTAGGCATAAGACTGTCTCCTTTGGTAACAGTCTCAGTTTCCTATGGTTTTCTGGCAAAGTGTTTTGTTTTCTACCTTGAGGTTGGTCTGCATTGGACTTTCATGGTCCCTTTTCCTCAGGTCTAAGTGATGAAGAGGACCAGAAGCCAGTGCGCCTACCCCTGAAAGTTCCTGTAGAACTTCAACCACGGAACAACCATGCCTGGGCACGAGTACAGAGCCTGGCCCAGAACCCACGTCTCAGGTGACATTTAGCATGAGGAAGGGCCCCATGACAGGCAGGACGTGAGGGTTTGGTGTTTCAGTTTCACTCAGGGTATCCTAGAGAAACAGATTTTGCCTAGTGCCCTGACACCATATGAGGACAGGGTATGGAGGTGACATTGTCATGATAATGCTCTTGAGTTGGAGGGTGGTCTTAAGATCCTGAATTGTAATTCTACCAGGCAAGGGTCTTTGGCCAAGTAAGAAGATATCATTGTGATTGCCTGCAGAATCTTCATCTTTCCTATAAAGCTCCTACATTTCTTTGTTTCTGGTTCCCTGAAGATTTGTAGGTAATTTATGAACAAAGCCCTGCCATACCTTTGGTCCATTTCCCATTTACAGTTTGTTAATCTGAAGTAAAATTCATACAACATTGAGTGAGCTGTTAGCCACTTGAATGTTTATAGTTAAGTGACAGTTTGTTCACTGTGTTGTACAACCTTTATCTCAATTGACTTCCAGAATGTTTTCATCATCCCATGTGCCTGTTAGCCAATGCTCGTCTCTGTCTGCTGCTTTTTATCCTGGTGGACTTGTCTCTTTTAGACATTTGATGTTAATGGAGCCACACAGAGGAATCTGCTCTGTCTGACATCTCTCATTGGCCTACTACTGTTCTGAGGCTCATCTATATTTTACCATGTGTTAGTGCTTCATCTCGTCTATGTGTTTATTTTATTTTCTTAGAGCAAATTAGGGGTAACTACTTTCCCTCCACCCTTGAAGACAAAGAGCACTGATAAAATAGGTGGTGATGCTTTGAATGCTTACACACTAGCCAAGCACCCACAATGGAAAGTGTTCCTAGACCTCTTTGTGTTATTTATAGCTCTATGTGACTCTATAGTGCTTTCAACAGACAGGACTTACATTAAGGAATAGGAGCTGAAGACCCTGTGGATCCCCCCTTCTAGTGTCTACTTATCTGTCATATGGTTTTGGTGCAGGCAGTCATTAGACTGGCTTTCTTACTATAATCTTTTTTTCATTTCATAGGATGATTGTGGAGCTACATCGAAAAGTCTCTAGTCTCATTGAGTTCTTGAAGCAGAAGTGGGCACTCCATGAAGTGCGAATTGTATCTTTTTTCAACTGAAGCAGACCCTCCAAACCTGTCAGCTATTCCTGCATGGGAATGGGGTCTTGTGTTCCCTAGTTCCTGTCATTGCTATGGGGCCCTGTGGGAGTCCAACACTCTTGGGTTTAGGTGTAAAGTCCTGCCTTTGACCTACTTGCACTGCTTGTATTCAGTCTCAGCCACCTCTCCATGTTTTGAGTGGCCAACTATCTGGCCCATGAGATGTGGTCTAAGTATCCCCATCAGTAGAGTGGGTGGGAGGATAGACACACATTGCAGCCTCCTTTGTGTCCTTGGCGGGTTATTGGCCCTACTTGTTCCCAGGAATAAATACTGTCATCAGGTGTGAGTTTCCTAAATACACTGAATACCTGAGCCAGCACAGTTGGTAGTAGCCTGAGGAAAGTTCCTAAGTGAGCCTCAGGAATATCAAGGGGTAGGTGGGGCTCCTAGGGAAGAAGGCCCTAGTCTGAAGTCCATAGCTCTCCACTGATAAATACCTTGATCACAGTGTAGTTTTTTGGAGTTGCTCCTTGACCGTGTATCCAGCGGAAGACACTTGAGGAGAGGCAGCTGCAGGGCTCAAGCACAGCACAGACCCAGGAGAAGGTGGCATTGCACTTGTTCCCAGGCGAGAATTGTACACTGACACCACTGCCGGGCGTGGCCCGTGTGGTTCACTCCAAGGCCTTCTGCACTGTACACTGGCAAGAGGGTGGCCGGTGCAAGCAGGGCACCAAGGACACACACTCGCTGCCTCCAGCCCAGATCCTGGGCATCCAGAGTGGTCAGGGAATAGCCCGGGGCCAAGTGAAGTGCCAGAGGGGCAGTGCTGAAGGCAAGGGTGGGAGCCGGCTCCTTCCTAATGCAGATGCTTCACAGAGTTCAGGGGAGAGTTCCCCCGAGAGTGCTCCTGGAGAGGGGGCAGTTCCAAGTCTGAGCAGCTCGGATGCCCCTGACAGGCCTCCTCATGGGCACCAGGACTCTGGCCCACAGCTTGAGAAGACTCCTTTAGCAGCCCTTGCAGTAGGTGGGGACAGCCCCATTCAAGAATCTGGGACCCTGCCATGTTCCTGCGGCCATCCCCCAGATTTGGAAGATGAACTCTCACTCCTTGACCCTTTTCCCCGATACCTGAAGTCTTGCCAGGATCTCATCATTCCAGAGCAGTGCCGCTGTGCAGACACACAGTCTGGGAGAGAGCACCCTCTGGGCAGGGTAGCTTCCCCAGAGGCCCTCATGCCTAGCAGCAAAGAGGTTGCTGACAGTGGTCCCCCTGGCCTGGACCCTCAAACTGGCACCGATCCTCAACTTGACCCCAGGCTTCTGCCAGATATTTGTACTAAAGAGCTGGCAGATGTATCTCCTGAAGAGGCCCAGGAGAAAGGGAGCACCTCAGAACCTCTGTTGTCTCAGGGACAGCCTGCTGCCAGGCCTTCAAAGGAAGTCCCTGCCACCCAGCTGGCCCAGCAGCTGCGTGAAGAGGGCTGGAGCTTGCAGACCTCTGAGAGCCTCACTCTGGCTGAAGTCTACCTCATGATGGGCAAGCCAAGCAAGCTGCAGCTGGAGTATGACTGGCTGGCTGTGCTGGGCCCTGAGAACCAGGCGCCCACAGCACAGAGCCAGACTGTCCTACCCCGTTCTCCACCCTCAGCCCTCCACCAGCAGCGCCTCCTTAACTGCCTCCTGAGGCTTATCTCCACTGAAGTCCACCCCAAGATGGTGAGTGGTTTAGATCAGCCCAGGACATTGAGTAGTTTGAGGTGAGCCTGGGTTTGTGTGTCAAGCATGGCTCTTCAGAATTCCAAAGGTAAATAATCACCAGGGCTGTAGGGTCCTATACCCCATTGCCAGGGCTGATAGTGAAGGTCTGCAGCTTCAGCACTGTGGAAGAACCTCTGAGTGGATCCAGTGGCAGGGTTAATTAGCAAGCTGTGACTAGACAGATGACAAGTTAAAAGACTTCAGATTTGGCCTTTTGTGGAAAGATGTGGTATGGTCTCCTGCTCAAAGAGGGGAGGCCAGAGCAAACCTGAGTCAGTAGGAAAGTAAGAAGCCTTGACTTCAGCTAAGGGTAAGTGAGGCAGTTTAGAACAATGTTGTGGAAAATGATGAACCAGAAGCACTGCAAGGCACCCAAGGTAGGCTCCTGGCCAGCAGCCTTAATACCACTGAAATCTTGTGAGAAACAAGATTACAGGGTTAGACACATGCCATTGTCTCTCTGTCCACTCCACCATTCTAGAGGCTCACAGAGAAACACTTAGTTTGAGGCTAGGCTGGACTTTTAAAGACAAGACAAAGAAAAACACAAGGAAGGGATGAAAGAGAAAAGAAAGGACAGACATTGCCAAGGGTTGAGGGAAGAGGGGTTGCAGATGATAGCCAAGTCCCCATAGTGACCTGATGAGCTCTGTTGAAACTCAAGACCTTGGCTCAGAGACAGGTCATCTGTCCTTAGTCCCTCTTTTTCTGCCTGGCAGACCTGTGGCAAGCAAGTACTCCCAAGAGTCCTGAGACTCAGTCAGGAATTTGCCAGAGTCACCTGAAATGCTCAATCTGAGGTGGGAATACTACTACTATTCCCAGAACCTAGAGGCCAGAAGAAAGATACAGGGAACAGGGACAGGCTGGCAATGATGGCTTGCTTGGGCAGAGCAGATGAGACCATAGTGAGGATCTGGACAGAACTGTAGAGGGCATGTTGTGTAGTAACCCCATTAGGGCATCTGGTGAGGTCTTCCTGAAGGTGACAAGACCACCATGATAGAAAGGGCAACAAAGAGGTGGGATGCCTTTGTGAAGCCCTAGGACTTAAAGCCATCTATTTTTATGGCTTTTGTTTTGTTTCATTTGCTATCAATTGGTATGTGTGAATATGGGTGTTCCAATGCATGATACACACGTGGAGGTCAGAGGACAGCTTTTTAGGAATCGGTTTTCCTCCCATGTTGTTTTGAGGTAGAGTCCCTTTTTTTTCTGTCACTGCACTTCACTTCTCCAGCCTGTGTGGTCTGTTCTGTCCACTTTTCCTATCTTATAAGAATTCTGGGATTACAGATGTGTGCCTTCACATCCAGCTATTTACATGGTTTCAGTGAATCAAACTCAAATCCTCAGGTTTGTGAATCAAGTGCCTTTACCTGCTTAGCCATCTCCCTGAATCCCCTGAGGCCAACTCTTAAAGCTAGGCAAAAGGTTTTTCATCTGTTTCCTTCTTCTGACTCACAGTAGCAGAAGTTAACATGATTGTCTTAGGCTGCCTTTTCGCCCTGGCTTTAAAAGACAAACCTTTGTCACTTACCAGTACCTCTTCCCTATACTGTAACTCTGCTCTGCTGGTCCCTGCCCCCAGTGTGCCATAGAGCTGCTTGTCTGTTCTCACCACCACATTGTGGCAATGGAGACAGGCTAGGATCTCCTGAGGAAAGCAATGAGTTGCTTTAATTATTCATCTCGCTCACCTGGAGAATTAGAGTTAGGGGTGGTTAATGCTTGTGCTAACACTTGGAAGACTAAGGCAAGTGTATCACCAGAAGTTTGAAGCCAGCCTGGCCTACTTTGTAGATACATGCCAGCTAAGGCTATAGGGTGAGACCCTATTTCAATAAAGAATACCCCCTAGAGCTGGAGAGGTGGCCCAGCAGTTAAGGAAGCTTGCTGTTTTTCTTCCAGAAGACCAGAGTTCAGTTCCTAGCACTGGTGTGTGTGTGTGCGTGTGCGGGTGCGCGCGTGCGTGCGTGCGTGCGTGCGGGCGTGCGTGCGTGCGTGGGTGTGCAGGCGCACGCACGTGCACGCCATAACATGCATGTAGATAGTAGAAGACAACTTGTGAGTAGTTAGTTCTCTTTTCCACCATATGGGTCCTGGGTGTGAAACAGCTTGTCAGGCTCAGTGGTAAGCACCTTACTTGCTGAGCCATCATCCTGGGCTCCCTTCTAACCTTTAAAAAATTAACACCCTAAATTTGTAAATTATAACGTTGGGGTATTTCCAAGGTGTTTTTGTTTTTGCTTTTTTCCCACCATGAAAATGAATGTCCTTAGGATATTTGTGACAGATCTATTTTCTTGACCTGAACCTGTTCCTTTGACTCTGAAACCTGATGTCTTTGCAGGCTTTTGAAGCAAACACAGCATCAACAGCCCCAGTCAGGCCCACCCAGGAGGAACAGTCTACAACCCCCCCAGGGAAGGTAGTGACCATCAGCTCTCGGAGTCCCCGCTGCTCTCGAAACCCATCAGCCCTCCGAAGCAGCAAGACTTTCCCATCTGGTTCTGCACCTTGTTCCCCAGGTATGCTTCAGGGTATCCTGTTGTCCTTGGTACTGAGTTAGAACTGAATACATGGTCATGCTGTCTACCACCCATGATCTAGTGGGCATAGCAGAAGCAGAGGATCACCTCCACTGGAGATGGTGAACATGGGAATATCATAAAAGACTGAGTTCATGTGATAAGCAGAGGGTGGGGTAGCCTTTATTGGTCTGGTCACATTGGAAGTTTTGCATCAGAAACCTTCATAGTATACTGAGTAGCTTACAGCCACTAAGGAGGATTGGTTTGTGAATCTGTAGTGACTTGATTTTCTTTACCTCCAAAACATTTGAATAAAGTAGTCTTCTATTAACGGGCATGCTGGCAGTTTATTGCAGTATTGAAAAGAAAGATGGAATAACCTGTTTTTTAGTATATCCTTACTTTTCATCCGAGAAATAATTTTGGTTTATTTTGTGGTACTAAGGATGGAGTTCAGGGCATCATCCATGTTAGGCAACACTTTGCTGCTAAGATATCACCCCAGCTCCTAGGAAGAAATTTGATTCTCTTACTGGGTACATAAAACCCAAAGCATGGCCATGCCATTTATTTCCCAGGGCATCAATTTTGCTTGCTTTAACCTACAGAGGCTATTTTCCCCTCTGTTGTAAGGAAGTTCCTACATTAGTGTACCAAAGATAACATAATTCTTTTGGCAAAACAAATATAGTATCCTGTCAGGTTAACAATTCTTTAATAATACTGTTTTTCATTTAAGAACATTGATGGCTTTACAATATCTCTGATTTACTATTTTGTGATCAGTTTTTCCACTTCTGTTTTCATGGCAATCCTTCCAGTGTGTGGACACATCTTGCAGTTGCTTGTTTTTTGTTTTTGCTTCCCCCTTCTTATGACTTTCTTTGTTTCCTGTGTAAGGAAACAAAATCTAAGCCACTAATCCTTGAGATGAAGGCATATTCCCTGAAGTGGGCCAGGCAGCAGCTCATGATTGCTTTTTCTGACTTCAAGTGAATTTCTCAGTGTCCTCTAATATTCTCTGTCTGATTGAGGATTGTAGACCCAGGGTCCTGTACTTCCATGTCTGGCAAGCTTGGCCTGTGAACTATGTTGGTCCATACCAAGCTATGAACCATGAAAATGCTTTTGTACCACAATGGCATTTCAACAGGGTTATTGTGAAATAAATATTTTGTGTCCTATTATCACTGGGACTATTTTCTATACAGTAAGGGATTTTAACCAGGGGTCAATAATGTGCAGCCTACTTTGTGTAATTGCCTGTGTTACACAAATAGCTACATAGGCATGTAACCATACTCTCTCTCAGACATACATCTGTGGCTGCTCTGTTGCTGCCACATGAAGTTGAGTTGCCATAGAGACAAGATGGTCAGAGTGTGTTGCTAAATAGCCTCTGTAGAGAGTCTGTTTTCTTTTGGCCAGCTAGGAATGCCCTAGGTTTTGTTAGCTCTGAAGTCTTGATTAGTTGTCCTGCCCCCCTACCCCCCCTCCATAGATCAGTGGTAATGTGCTTTTAATCAAGAGGCCTGCAGTCCCTGTAAAGTGGGGCCAGGAACCAAAGAAAGCAAGGCAGTACTTTACTGGGATAGAGCTGAAGAGTTGTCAGGTTCCTTTCCTGGTTTACTTCCTAGTGGAGCTGCGTTGCCCTGGAGGGTATGGTATGTAAGTGAGTGTCAGCACATAATTCTCCCTTCTGTTCCAGGTTTGAGAAATCCCCCAAGGCCTCTTTTGGTGGCTGGTTCCTCCAGCACAGGAAGTGGTGACTCAGATGGTGGCCTCTTTGCTGTCCCAACGACTTTGCCACCCAATAGTCGACATGGAAAGCTCTTCTCTCCCAGTAAGGAGGCGGAACTGACTTTTAGGCAGCACCTGGACTCCATCAGCGTGAGTGCTGGGAGTGCCAGGTTGGGTGGCTATGGTGTGCTTCGAAGGTAGAATGCCTATTCTTAGGGCTCATGCTCTTTGTCTTATAGATACAGTCAGACTTTTTCTCACCAAAGCCCAAGAAACTACGGAAACGGCACTTACGAAAGCCACTGGTGGTCCAGGTGAGGGAACGTTGCTTGAGTCTATGCATCTGCAGTATGTCTGTTAGGTCCCTACTCTAGCTATTGAACTGGCCATGAGATACTTTTCTTACATGTCTTTGGTTCTCAGAGTGAAATAGAGAAAAATTCCTGCCCTTGTCTTTCTTATTAATAGGAAAAACAAAACCATGAACAATTTACTGGTACCCATATAGATAAAGATAGACTTTGATTAGCATTGAAAATTACTTATATACAAGGCTGGGGTTCTGGGTCACAAGAGTGTCCAAGTTGGAATATTTCCAGGAGCTGCCAGAGCTTGGGCTTAAAACAGTCAGGAGGCAAAAGTTGGGCTGGCAGAAGCAAGGATTTGTAAAACTATAGTAAGTGGTGGGAGAACCCACAAATGCCATCTATCAACCATGACAGACACAGGATATACAAGGCACCCAAGAAAGAAGACAGCAGCATTTTCACATGAAAGACAAAGGGAGTAAGGCCATAATAACATAGCCATAGGAATTTGTGATTGTCTGTAGTTTTTGGAAGACACGAATAGACTAGGTTCCTTTTGCTTGTCTCTTAGAAATCCTTTTTTTTCTTTGGGTCTGGTGAAGTGACTTAGTGGGTAAAGGTACTTGCCACTAAGTCTTACAATCTTTCCTCACGTTTTAGAAGGACAATCCAACTCATAAAGTTGTCTTCTTACCTCTATACTCATGTCATGGTATGACTACACACTAAATAAATGAACATAATTTTAAATTTTTAAAGAAAATATTTTTCTGTAGTGGCAGCTTGCCTTGCCAGTAAACTTACTGTAGTAGCTACATTTTTTTCCTTGAGATTGGTTTATTTATAAATAAGAAGTATGCTGAAGTTAGTGGCTACAGGGTGAGACCATGTTATAAAAGAAAGGAGTATTGCATGAATGATGTTAGGAAGTATGTATACTAAACTTTTTAATTTTTGTTCATGCTCCCTTAGTTTTCAATTTAACTTCAGTTTCTTTGCTCCTTTGTCCCAGAAGTGGGAAAATACTTTCTGACTTGGTAGAGGCTCCGTGGCTGCTAAATTTAGCTTCTGAATATTAAACTAAACCCCATGGTCTGAACTGAGTCTGTTTTGTTTTCTGAATGAATATGTGTGTGGTGGCACAGTATGTGTACAGGTCTGTGCATATGGAGGCCAGAGGTCTATAGCAAATTTCTTCCATAATGCTTTCCACCTTATATATTGAGGCAAGGCTTCTCATTGGAACTCAGAGCTCTCAAGCTCTGCTAGTCTAGCTAGCCTGCTTGCTCAGGGGACCCCTTGTCTCTGCTTCCTGCAATCTGGAGTTTCAGGTGGCTTGACATGCCCATCTGACATTTATGTGGGTGCTGGGGATCTGAGTTCCTGTGTCATATATGCATGACAAGTACTTACTCCCTGAGCCATCTTCCCAACCCCATCCTGTTTTTATTATTTAAGATATCCAGCCGGGTGGTGGTTGCCCATGCCTTTAATCCCAGCACTCAGGAGGCAGAGGCAAGCAGATCTCTGTGAGTTTGAGGCCAGCCTGGTCTATAAGAGTTCTAGGACATGCTCCAAATCTACACCAAGAAACCCTGTTTCTAAAAAAACCAAATAAAATATCCAATATATAATGTTTCATATATATATATATATATATATATATATATATGTATCATAATGCTCACTCATTTAAAGTACACAGTTGGACAGGTTTTAGTGTAAGTATGGGGTGTTACCAACTCATGTTCTTTTCATAGAATATTCTTAGCTCTCAGAAGGAGCCTTGTTCCCAATAACTGCCAACCCACCTATCTCTATGGATTTACCTATCCTGGGTATTTCCTCAGATGGGATTGTACAGTATGTGGTCTTTTCCACTTAATATTTTTGTAAATCAGTAAAGCTTTATTGACAGAGAGCCATAGTTATGTTCATACTCTCTGTGGCTGCTGTGTCCCACAAGATCAGGGGCAATAGTGGCCTCAGAGCATTCTGTCTGGCTCTTTATGGACAAAACTTAACGAGTACTACCTAGCCCTTGGAATGAGGTATGGTAAGCCTCAAAAGTGTGCAGAGATGTTAGTGAGTTGATCATGCTGTCATCCCAAATTCTTTCTGGTCTCTGTTGTTTGCCAACATCCTGGGGAGATCATGCATGAACTAAGGTCTCAAGGCAACCCAAGCCCTTTATATATGAAAAGAGTATCAACTTTGTGCCAGACTCAGTTGTGTCATGATCCAGTGTGACTGACAGATCCTTGTAAATGTTGCACTGTTAGCACTGTCAGTGGTCAGTACAGGTTCTTCTTAGCTAAATAGGTACTTACAAGTATATCAGGACCTTTTGTTCACATGTAGGAAGGAGACCTGGAAATGATCATCTCTTATCTTTCAGTGCCTCTTGTTAGAAGCAGTCCATTAACTCTCTCCATTTTGCCCACCAAAATGCTCAGTATTGAGCCCTATCAGCCTATCTACCCCTTGGTTGTAAACAGATGCCTATATGTGCCTTCTAGCCAAATCCAGACCATTCTAGGTTTGAATTAGATCCTACTGATACTTCTTCAGTTTTCCTTGGGAAAGGTCTCATCCTAAGCATTCTAGACTGATTTTTTTTGACACTGATGTCTTCTTATCACCTTTACTATATGCAGTTTGTTTTTTTTTTTTCTCTTTTCTCACAGAGGACACTGCTCCCTAGACCCTCTGAAAACCAGTCCCACAATGTGTGCTCCTTCTCCATCCTGTCTAATTCTCCTATAGCCGGTAAGGACAAAGATTCCTGGGATAGCTTTCCCTCAATATGCCTCACTGTAGGACTGTAGGTGTGGCTTTCCATGGCTATTTGTGTGACATTTCCAGCATACCTGTGTTCATTCTATCAACATATACTAAGTGTATATTGTGCCCACTGTGTTGGGCCTGGCTGCCATTATGGGCAGGAAGACTGCCTGCCAGTGGCTGGAATGTACCTTCTTTTTTCTTTTTAAAGATCTTATTTATTTATTATGAATAAAACATTCTGCTTCCATGTATATCTGCATACTAGAAGAGGGCACCAGATCTCATAACAGATGGTTGTGAACTACCATGTGGTTGCTGGGAATTGAACTCAGGACCTCTGAAGAGCAATCAGTGCTCTTAACCTCTGAGCCATCTCTCCAGTCCTGAAATGTACCTTCTTTAGACATGTGTTCTATTGTCTTTGTTGGCAGCACCATTGAGTTCAGTTGTGTGTTTTCACTTTCTGCCTGTAGAGTCATGACAGGCACTTATAAAATAAATGGTGTTGTTGGAGTGTATGATCACATTTTTTATTTACACCATCTGTAAACTTGGTGTGTGCTCTTGTGCTTTGACATAAGCCATAGTGTGCGTTTTGTAGTAAACACAAATGCTTGTTGATTTATCTTGACTAATCTTTTTTTTTTTTTTCTTTTTTTGCTTATGATTCTGGAGATCAAATCCAGAGCTGTAGGCTGATCAATTGATGTACTGCTAAACTATGTTATGTTTCCAGCCCTCATGAATCTTTTTATCTTTTTTCCTTTTTTTTTTTAAGATTTACTTATTTTCATGTGTATGTGTAAGTGCCTTTATGGCATCAAAAGCCTATGGAGGCCGGAAGATGTGTCAGATCTCCTGCAGTTACAGGAGGTCATGAGTCACTGAGTGGGTGCTAAGAAATAAACCTGTGTCTGCTGCAAGAGCAGCAAGTGCTCTTGTCCACTGAGTCATCTCTCCAGTCTCTTCATGAGTTGTATTCTTTTATTCTTTAATTTTATGTGTATGGATGTTTTATCTGCATGTATGTATGTGCAACATTTTCTTGTCTCCTGCCCATGGAAGCCAGAAGAGGGTGTTGGATTTCCTGAAACTGAAGTTAACAGGTGGTTGGGAGCTATCATATGAGTGTTTGGAACTGAAACTAGATCTCCTTCTTAGGAGCCTGTGTGATAATACTTCTCATTCTCGAGGTTAGCAAGTGTTTGGACTTGCTATGATCCTAGCTATGTCTGTGAAGGAACCCCTTCATAGCCCCATTGTGCGCTGTAGGGTATGGACAAACCAGTTGACATGACTGAATTTATCTTCCCCTCACAGGCAGAGGCTGGTTTCGGCCCATCCAGTCTTCTCTTACCAAAGCAGCTCTGTCTCGACCAATAGTGCCCAAGGTCCTCCCATCTCAGGCCACCAGTCACCTGCCCAGTAAGTCTGTAATGTGCACAGTGACAGCCACTATGTGAGCTTCCTTAGTCGCTTTTTTTGTCATACATCTTTGTAATGTTCTCTTCTTCTCCAAGGCATAATGTCTTACTGCTTTGCTAAGAGTATTTCAAATCCCTTGGCTTTTCACTGAAGAGAGGTAGAGGGAGAAGCTGTCCCAAACTCCCTGGGCATACATCATGGAGTGGAGTGTTATGGAACAGAGGTTTGATATATCACTCCTGTTGCCAGGTGCCATCGACTTAGCAGCTCAAAGTGCTGGCATCATCCCTGAAAGTCCTTTGCCAGTTTTAGATACCGATGGTTCATCTGGCATTTCTGCACTGTCTTCAGAACAAGTAACCACTGCCATCTCGGGGCAGAGTGACACTGGACCACACCAGAACAGAGACCCTGTTACTTCCGTAAGGGTGAGTGCATTTACAAGGGCTAATTTGGCATTACTGATAGCTTCTGGAGCAAGACCATGGACCCTGTGGCACCTTTGGAGGCCTGGTGTGTTAGAGGATACCCTGAGCCAGGGAAGCCAAGGTTTGAACATCTACCATGGAACACAGAGTGGGAGGGTGAAGAGAAATGTTTGCTGTGTGGTGATGCTAAAGAATCCATTGCTAAAACAAGCAAGTAATTCTGCATTTCAACTTAGAGGCTGACATCAGCCCATGGGTCCCTTAGTCAGGTGGTAGTAAGTGCTCGCTGTATCTTGGTAGAGAGTAGCTCCTATGGCCTTGACCACTCTTTTTCTCGTCAATCTCCATATGTTCTGATTTCAGCCTATTTGAAAGGAGAGTAAATGGGGAGATTCCATGGGGCTCTAGGGTCTGAGATAATGTGGCCAGCCTCTTACTGGGCTGTTACATTTCCTCTTAAAAAGCAATGAAAGAATGTAAGTGCAGAAGTAGCACTCTTATGGCTGTCCATCATTTCCAGCCTGGAACACAGCCCATTCCTGCACCTCTGTCTGTAGGGAGCCTGCAGTGACTGAGAAGAGTTTTTCTTTGGTGCTCAGCCAGACAAGCACATGGCTGTTAACCCAGCTCAATGCCAACCACTCATCCGTCTTCTTGTTGTTCCAGGGCAATAGTGACCCCTTTATCAGCGTTCCAAGACCAGAGCAGGAGCCAATGACAGACGGTTTCCAGGTAGAGTACACCTTAGGGTCTCAGTGCCCTCCCTGAGTGCACAGATTGTGCTTTCCAGCAACACTGTTGTCCTGCCACCTGCCTTGCCTATTGCCTCATGAATGAGTGAACCATCTTGTCCCTGGTTCTAGCTTCTTTTTTTTAACTCCATGTCTAAAAGGACTGGGTTTTCTAACCTGGGAAGCAGGACATAATTGGCAGGTGGCTCTCTGTTTTAGGGATTTTTTTTTTTTTTTAAAGACAGCGTTTCACTGTGCAGTTCTGGCTGTCCTGGAACTTACTCTGTAGAGCAGGCTGACTTCAATATCACAAATCTGCTTGCCTCTGCCTCCTGAGTGCTGGGATTAAAGGCATGCACCACCATTGCCCAGACAGCTGGCGGCTTTCTGAGCATTACTCTTTACCTAGATGCCACCAATGGAAACAGGCTCACCCTACCCTGGCTTAACTTTCTTCTGAAGAAGTATATTTCTTTAGTGTTGTCCTCCCTTGGAAGAATGGAAGACACCTGCATTTGTTGCATCTGCCAAGCTAGAGATGGAGGCTGTACTCACTGTTTCAAATGCTGATGGGCACCTTATGTCTGAACAATATTTGTCCCCCTCCTGGCAGGGATCATCTGTTCTGTGCTTACCTGAGCTGCCCAAGGCTCATCTCCAGAATGGCCTTTCCACACCTTTACCCTCATCAGAGAGCTCCAGCACCAGGCTTTCCCCACCCAATGTTTCTGCACTGCTGGACATATCCCTACCTGGCCCACCTGAAGATGCTCTCTCACAGGGAGAACCTGCCACACAGATCAGTGACTCCATCATTGAGATTGCCATCAGCTCTGGCCAGTACAGTAAGTACAGGTGGCCTTGCACACCTTTATCAGAACCAGGTTCTAACTAGGATAGGGCAACCAGACTCGCCAAAGGGGACCTGATCTGCCTAAGTATTTGCCAAACTTGCTGGTAAAGTACCAGTGTAGCTGTCAATTTTTGTTTGTTTGTTTGTTTGTTTTGTTTTTCGAGACAGGGTTTCTCTGTGTAGCTTTGGAGCCTATCCTGGCACTCTCTCTGGAGACCAGGCTGGCCTTGAATTCACAAAGATCTGCCTGCCTCTGCCTCCTGAGTGCTGGGATTAACGGCGTGTGCCACCAACGCCCAGCGTAGCTGTCAATTTTTAACATTGAATACCTACCACTACAGGGTCCCTTTGCCTGACTTGGCAGGAGTGGTATCTGGGAGCTAGTGGTCTGGTTGGGTTGTTCCTGACCTTGAGGTAAGAATGGGATGGTTTAGAAGGTTCTCTGAAGCCTAGGGATCAGTTTCCTCTTTGTGTATCTCTGGGAGATAACCTGCATGTTTCTCAGGTGGTGCTTAGGAAGTTGCTGCACGGATAGTCACTAAGGGCCTGATACCACTCATTCTGTGGTTTTCCTGGTGGCAGGGGTACAGCTGTTGCTTACTGACATGACTCATATTGAGGGGTTCAAGCAGACACAGTCTTTTAACCCATGGGCTTGATAGAGCTCCGACTTGCCTTTCTCAGTAGTAGACTGGGAACTCTGCACCCTACAGGATGGAATCAGGAACATGCATAGCACTCTTGGCACAGGGCCTGACCCTACCTGCTGTGTTCTGCATTGTGCCCTTCTTATAATGAGACGTTGCCCTGTAGGCTCTGTGGTCCTTGTTTGTAGACAACTACTTGCTGTCCCTTTGGTGTGAGCCCAGTGTATCCTGGGTCTCCTGGGTTCAGTTATACACAGCCTTTGCCTCCTGCTGCCTTACTCTGGGTTGAGGGAGGCATCTCTGACCTTGGATTTTGGTTGACAGGTGAAGGAGTCCCTCTTTCTCCAGCAAAACTGAATGGCAGTGACAGTTCCAAGAGTCTTCCCTCCCCATCCAGCAGCCCCCAGCCCAACTGGATTGCCTCTCCCACTCATGACCCACAGTGGTACCCTAGTGACTCCACAGATTCCTCCCTCAGCAGCTTGTTTGGTGAGTGTTTCTGGGGGACTCTTCAAGATTGGAGTCAGGCCACACCTCTGAGAGCACTTTTGCTGTTTTCACCAGTGTTTGTTTCTGAGTTAACCTTTTAAAGTATAATTTACATATAGGAAAATGCAGATTTTCAGTGTGTAGTTCACTGAATGTTGGCATGCTTATAGACTCTGAGAGCCTTCAGCCCAGTACAGACGAACACTCAAGTCACTCATCTGGTTCTCAGTGCCTTCTCCAGTCTGTCCAGCTAGCCCTATTTTCTTACAGGACTCTTAGGAAGATAAAAAAAAATAAACAGACCATACTATCTTTATGCACTCAGTTTCTTTGTAGGATAGACCAAAGTTGAAGCAATGATGGGTCAGTAATGGCTAGGACCACACATTGGCCAAGATTTGTACCTCTGAACCTCTATTTAAACCCAAACCTGCCAGTACCCTGAATATGGGATTGGGGGATGGGCTCACTGAACCTGTTTATTTTGTTCCTCTTCCCAATGGTGCTTTAGTGAATAAATCTCCTTTTCTGCTTTTCAAGATTACTTGTTTCTTTAGTGGGTCTATTAAGAATGGATGACTAAGCTTAGCTTTTAGAGTTGCTAAGACCCAGGCTTCTGCCTTATCATCCCAAACATAATCATCCTTGCTATGGGTTCTATGCCTGGTGGGGATTGCAGGGAACCAGCCCCACACCCAGTGGTTTTGCTATCAAAAGAAACAGTGCAGACATGAGCAAAACCATCTGCAGTCTGTGAAGTCGGAATCAACCTTAATGCCCATCAGTGAGGGTCCGGCCACAGAGAATACAATATAGGAGGAGTACAGCACCTTGGGACCCTCAGAAAATGATAAAGATGAATGTACACTGACATTATTAGATGACAAAAGCCTGTTATAGCATAAGGATGCATCTGTAGCCCTTCACACAAGTGTGAAGGGAGAGACATAGAGGGGCCTGACTGACCTAGTTGGATACCTATGCCTGACTCAGCTTTCTCTCTGCAGCCAGCTTCATATCTCCAGAGAAGAGCAGGAAGATGCTACCAACTACTGTTGGGGCCAACAGCGGCACATCTTTGCTTGGTCCTAGCTTGTTGGACGGAAATTCAAGGGATTCTTTTGTGTCCAGGTCTCTTGCTGATGTTGCAGAAGTAAGTGCATTTCCTGAACTTAACTTCCCATCACATTCTGTGGGATCCCTCCTAGGTCCTGTGGGTCTTAATGAATGTTCATGGGAACTATATGTCAGATAGAAGAACACACGGGCCTAAAACTCTGGCAGCACTGGAACAACTGATGACCCACAGCAAACTGTAAGTAACAGCTTACAGTTTGTAGGCTTCTTAACCTGGGAAGCCTGGGATCAGGGTAGAGAGCCAAGTCACCAAAGGTAGGCAGAGCGCTGTTGAATCTCCTCATGTCCTTGCCTTGCTGTATAACCTTGGGCTGTCTCAGTTAACCAATCTAAGGTATAGTGCCATTTGGAAGTTGTAAGATGTTATTTTATTTATTTATTTATTTATTTATTTATTTATTTATTTATTTTTTTTTTTTGAGACAGGGTTTCTCTGTGGCTTTGGAGGCTGTCCTGGAACTAGCTCTTGTAGACCAGATTGGTCTTGAACTCACAGAGATCCATAAGATGTTATTTTATCACCTTTCCTGCTCTGGCTACAGAAAGCCTTTGAATAGCATTTCCCTGTAATGTTTTGTGGCCATGACCCTGTAGCACTTAGGAATAGGTTCTGTAGTAGAGTTCTGTCCTTTCTCTGCTTATTCTTTTCCATGTTATGGATAGGCTTTCTGTTCCTGCAGTCATAACAGAGGTCCTCACATTGTCTATGTGTGCCCTGGACTGCAGGGCAGCACTAGAGGGAGGACAGCTGCTGTGCTAGGTACAGAGCTGCAGGCATCATGAGAGACTACATTTCCCGAGCTGGTTCCCTGGATATCATAAGACCTTGCAGGTTATTCCAGGAGAGTATTATAGCCAGACACTTGAAGCAAAGTTCAGATCAAAACAATATTCAAAATAGCTGTTTCCATGATGCATGGTAGAATAAGCCTATAATCCCAGCACTTGGGAGACTGAGGGAGGATAGCTGTGGCTTTGAGATCAGTCTAGGCTATAGAATGAGACCCTGTCTCAGGAAAAGAAAAAAATCAATAATAACAATATAAAAACACAACTTTTCGGGGTGGGCCTAGAGAGATGCCTCAGTGGTTAAGAGTACTGGCTGATCTTCCAGAGGCCCTGGGTTCGATTCCCAGCATCCACATGGCGGCTGACACCTGTCTGTAACTTTATACCAGAGCTTCTGACATACAGACATCCATAAAATACAGACATAAATGCAAGCAAAACACCAATAAACATAAAATACAATTTAAAAAGTGGGTGGGGTAGGTTAATAAATAATTAAAAAATAAAAACAAAACAAAACAACTTTTTCACAAAAATACAGTTTTCCAGTGTGGATTTTGAGATGGAGTTGTGGAATGTTTTGATGATGTATGAGCTGAACCATGACATGCTTGACAATTTGTTAGAGAGATGGCTAGATGATTAAGAACATTTACTTTGCAGTCATGAGGACAAGAGTTTGGCTGTCAATATTCATGTAACAACTTGGCCATCCAGCCTTTACCAGGAACCCAGCTTTAAGTGTGGAAAGATGCAAACAGAAGGATCACTTGGGGCTTGCTGACTTCTAACCTAAACTAAAAAATAGGCAGTGGTGGCGTATACCTTTAATCCTAGCAGTTGGGAAACAGTGGAGGGTGTGTTTGTGTGTTTCTGTGGACATGTATATGGAGGCCAGAGTCCACAAATTTTCCTTCCTTAATTGCTCTCCATCTTTTATTTTTATTTTGTTTAATTATTTACTCTTTACTCTAATGACCTTATGTACTGTGGATGTAGTGAAATGTTAGATCTGAGCGTAGCTTGCAAGAATTGGTTTTCTCCTACTCTGTAGGTCCCAGGGATTAAACATAGGTTGTTTGAGTTGGCAGCAGGCACCTTTATTTATCCACTCACTATGGCACTAGACTGCTACCTTATTTTTTGAGGCAGGAAGCTGAACCTGGAGCTCATTGATTGTGGTAAGCTGACTGGCCAGTGAGCTCCAGGGATCCACCTGTCTCTGATCCCCTGGCTGTGATTCCAGATGCCATACCCTGCTTTTCTATGAGTACTGGGATACAAACCCAAGTCCATGTGCTTTCATGGAAAGCACTTTAATAACTGAGCCATCTCTTCGGAACCCTCTCATATAATATATGATATTTCTCAAACCCATTCTTTACATATGGATTCTTTACTCATAGGGCTCTTTGTAGTTTAAATGTGTCACACAAAGCCGGGCGTTGGTGGCACACACCTTTAATCCCAGCACTTGGGAGGCAGAGGCAGATGGATGAATCTCTGTGAGTTTGAGGCTAGCCTGGTCTACAGAGAAACCCTGTGTGGAAAAAAAAAAAGTTCCATACGAAAGACTGTTCTTTCCTTTCCTGTTAGTATGAACACTATAAGCCCCTGGTATCTATGAGATGGACACTGCTGAAGCCTGGAGGTCAGGAATGCTGAATTCAAGGCAGCCAACTCCCAAGTCGGCATTTCTATTTTCCCTGGTGATGTGGTATTCAGGACAGTGAGCAACACAGAATATTTTATCTGTAGCAAGTGAAGGACACACATTCATCAGCAGAAGAACCAGTGTACTCAGCAGAGGGTCTTTCTAAGAGCTCTATACTTTAAAAATCACTGCCTTTGGAAAGGGCCCTCATCATCTGGAAGTGTAGCAATCATTTATGAATTCATTGATCTGATAGTGGGATCTGAGTGAGAGTAATATGTATAGTCTATAGGGATAAGGGAATCTGTTTTGGTTGATGTCATGGAATCAGAGGATGCATACATAAATGGAGGAAGTCTGTTTTGGGTCAAGGCCTTGCTTGGGCTGGTCTTGAACTCACAATACTTCAGGCTGCTTCAGCCTCAGAAATTGTGGGATTATAGGCGTGCATCATTTCCTGTCTTTGCTCCACTGTTTTTAAAACTGTGTGAGTGTGTGTGGGGGTACACACGTATAGTAGTCAAAAGACTACTTATATGAGTGTTATCCCCTTCCACATTGTTGTAGTTCTAGGGATCAAGCTCAGATCATCTGGCTTGACAACAAATAGCAAATACTGTTGTTACACACTGTGTCCTCATTCCAGACCTTTTTTAAGAATAGATTTCAATTTGTTCAACATTGCCAGTAAGAATTTTAAAATTTAGTTCTTGCCATATTAATTCATATCATATAGTTCACAAAGAAAAAAATCATGCAAATCTTACCAAGTGTTACTATAGTCACTATATGGACAGAAGTTCCTGTTATGAATCTTCCAGTGTAATGGAGAGAGACAATAATGGTAACAGCTCCCAGGACATACAAGATAATGTCTTTAACACCCAGGACATACAAGTGTCTGTGTTCTTCCCAATAGTTCTCTCTCCACCTTGCTTACTGTGCTGAGTGTACCAGTTTTCTAGTGTTTCTTGAACAGCTGCACTCTGCCTTTGCACTGAGATGGGAATTTTTTTCCTCGAATGTTGATATACCTGTACCCACACCTGTGAGATCCTGACACTTTGGAGCACCTCATGTAACTCTTCTCTGAGGCACCTCTGCTTTGCCTACTTTGATCTCTGCCTTCACTTGTCACTGTTGACCTTTCTGTGGACTGTCTTCCTCATGAGTATCAGGGAGGACTGCTACTGTAGCTCAGCATCAGATGTTTCATGTTCCTGCGGGGCTTTTCTAGGATCGTATGCAGAGTGTGTACTTAGAGAAAGTCCATGTGCTTAGACCACCAAGGGTTTTGAAATTCCTAGTAGAGCAATAGGCTCCTTGTATTGACATTCTGCTCTGGGGGCCAAGAGCCTCTAGTCAGGATGGTAAGCCATCCTCCAGCTAATGTGGTCTTCTTATCCCTTCTGTCCTACAGGTGGTAGATTCCCAGTTGGTGTGCATGATGAATGAAAACAGCATTGACTACATATCTCGATTTAATGACCTGGCCCAAGAGTTGTCCATCAATGAGCCTAGCCGCCGAGAAGTTCTTTTTGATGGTGGAGGAGGTGGTAATCCTGTTGGTGACCTCTCTCAGTGACTGTGCCTTGTGACTGTGACATGGGCATCCTGGAATCCACAAGGGAAGTCTACAGGGCTGGCCCATGAAACTGTCTTCACAGAGAGAGTCAAGCCCAGAATCCCCAGGAGACAGTGAACCAGAGCACCTCTAACAGCATACGATATGCAGCCCATAGGAGCTGATCATGGCCTGTCCCCAACAAGCAGGAGCAGTACCATACACAGAGGCCTTCTCAGAGAATGAGCTCTGAGAAGAGTAGACATCAGAAATTCTTTTGGTATCAGAGTCCTTACAGTCCTGTTGCCTGTGTGGCAGTCCCCAACTGTATGACTGCCTGTTAAACCTTCCAGAGGGTGGTCTCCTTGCAAGAGACATGCCTGGTGTTCATTTTTGTCTTGGGAGCTGTTAGTTAGCCTGTGTGCAGGGAGGCCACAGCCACTGCTGCTTTCTTCTGATATCCTTTTCTCCACTTGGCTGTTCTGTCTTATGGGTCTTGCTTGATGGTTTCTGCGAGCTAATACACTTCCTGGATATCTTGACCATGAAGCAGAAAAGGGTCCCAGAGTCAGGTAGCTAGCAGAGGTTTGGTTCTTCCTGGCGTAAGAAGGGTGAAAGAAAGTATGTCTTGCAGGTTGTATGGGTGTTTTATAGGATCTTACAAAGCTGGTTGAAAATGGTTTTCTTGTGGTTTAAGAATTGGGAGACATGGACAAGGAATAGTAAGAGTCTTTTATCTAAGTGGTTCTGCTCTCTTCCTATGCTAAATGCCCAGTTCTTTCTAGGTGACCTAAGATACCATTCTTCTCTGCTTACTTGCCCCCCACCCCCCCCACCCCGCCCAACCAATCCATTGCTATTATCTACAGCTAAAGCTTTTGTGCGTGCTCTAATTTTTCATGTGTTACTCCTGGTGTCTGAGGGTTGTCTTTGCCCCAGGCTGCCTCTCTTCCTGTTCTGGGACGTCTGAAGCAGGGTTCAGATGTCAGTGTGGTGAGAGCTCACCACTTGGTGGTATTTTAGCAGCTTTCTTCTAGAGCCCAGCGGTGGTCAGCAGTCATGATTGTGGCTAACCTGTTTAGAATGGTTCCAACAAGAGTTTCATCCCCTTCCTTTGCCCTCAGTAGATCCTTGCAACACAGTCACTCCTGCTAGACCCCATATGTTCTGGGTGAACAGGTGACACCATCTCACTGCTTACTCTCCACACAGCAGCCAAGGCTGACAGGTTCTTTTCTTTCTTTTTCTTAAATTTTTTCTTTTCTCTTCTCTTCTCTTCTCTTCTCTTCTCTTCTCTTCTCTTCTCTTTTCTTTTCTTTTCTTTTCTTTTCTTTTTGTATATCCCTGCCTGATTGTTCTGTAACTCAATCTCTAGACCAGGCTGGCCTGGAACTCATCTCTGCTTCCCAAGTGCTAAGATTAAAGGCATGTGTCACCACATCTGGCTTGACAGTCCTGAAACTGCCACCTCTGCTCTCTACCTGTTCTCTCCTTATTTGCAGAGTAGTCCTTAAGACCAGCTCAGGCCCTTCCTCTGTCTGTCTGCAATGAAGAAAGGGTTGGAAACCTCCCTGGTGGGACACTGATCCAGTTGTCTCACCATCTACTACAAACCTTAGAATACAGGCTCCACTGCAGGAACTGAGAGGATAGGTGACTCTTGACAGCAAATTTCTTCACCTCCTAGGATCCTCCTGTCCCTGGTGCTGGTAAAGGACTGGCCCCAGATCCTGGCGTATAAAAACCCCTAGGTCTGGTAAGTCTAAAACTCTTAGAGGATGAGGAGAGCAGCAATCAGTCTGTTAGGAAAGACTGGTGAAGTCACTAGTGTGTCTTTACCCAATCATGTGTTTGCAGCACTGCCTTACTTAGCTCAAGTTATTTAGGTCTTGGGACAGTAGCACAGTTACGATATCAGGCTCAACTCAGGCCATTGCTAGCTGCCCTTCCACTGTTTCAAGCAGACTCTCCCACATTAAGTATAGGTGCTTGTAACATCCTGGTAACTGAGCATATATAGTACTAGGCAGTTCAGTGCCTGAACTGATTCCCACTGGGCAATCAATGCCTTGAGGCACACATTACTCTGTGTCTTCTAGAAGGAATTGAGGTTGCCTTGAGGAGCAGAGCCTACAGCCCTTGTCACCTAGCATCAGGCAGGAGTGGAATGGCCTGACTCGTTACTACGGGGAAACTGGCAGGATTCCAGAATATTCCACTGCTTTTTTAACAGGCAGGCAGACACATTTGCTCATCATCACCATATTAATCACTTGTAGCAGAAAATCAATGGGTATAACTTCTCCCATCCTAATCAAATATCCATACATAAAACTGAAAACTGTTAAAGGTTGGAGATTTTTAAAAACAGCAAGGAAGCCTCCTGGGTTCTTCGTCTTTCTCTGCCTTTCCTTCAGTTTTGATGGTTCATGTTCACCTAGGGCTTCCAATGTGCATGGGAACTTAGTGTGATAAACATGAGATCTGTTTTACACACACACACACACACACACACACACACACACACACACGGTCTCTGTGGCCTTGGCTATCCTTGAACTCACAGATATTCGACAGCCTCTGCCTCGTATATTCTGTGATTAAAGTCATGCGCCACCACCGCCCAGCTGAGAACATTTTTTTGTTAATACTAATGTCTTAGACTTTTTGTTGATTGTCTTTTCAAAAGATTGAGATGCAGTATCTCTGGTGCTTGGCGTGGATTGTGTCCTATAGAAGATGCTCAGGCAAGTTGAAGTTCATATATCCTGTAAAGGCATAGTGTACTTGCTCAGGGAATATGACTTTGGCGACATTTCATCTGTTGGTCAACCTTTTTTCCCCACCCTGTTCTTTTTTCATTCCTTGTGGCCTCACTGCTAGGGGAAGTCTCATTCAATTTAATAGCATTTTAACCAGACCACATTATTAGAAATGGTCAAAACAAGTTTAGAGAGAAATTGTTTCATGTACTTTTTAAACAGATCTGCCAGATGCATTCATGAGGAAATACCATACTTTGTCTTAATTTAAAAAAAAAAAAGGAAAAATCAATTTTAAAGACATAAAAAAAGGAAAGAAACCCACAGAGGATACTGTTCCAAGAGGATAGCCTGATGAGGTCAGTCCAGTTTTGGAAGCACTGCACCAGTCCAAAGCCTTACTAGTTAGTAAAATACGCTGGCAGGAGGGGCGCAGCCGGCAGGCAGAACTCAGTGCTGTTTGCTTTGATAATCGTTAAGCCATATCATCTGAGGTTTCCGGCTTGAGATGTGAATTTGTTTTATAGACTATAAATATACAGTGTATGTATAAAGCAGAATGCCTGTCCTTCTGATTATTTTTTGTACCATATTGTAAATTACATTATTTATTCTTTACCAATTTTTTGGGAATAAAAGGTGTTTTGGTTATTTAATATAATAAACAAAAACTGTTAAACTTCAGCCAAAATTTCCAGTTCAGCTTGTAAATGTTTTTATTGTGCATAAATACATACTAATACTTGATCTAATGACTGTCTTTTGTGCCTGCTTATAAAGCCAGCATACTTGAGGTATTCAGGTCTGGCGAAGGCGCAGCGTTAGTGAGATGAACCCTGGAGCCAACAGGCAAGGATGGGCGCAGCAGAAGAGTTCGGCAAATCCTGGGTTAGACAGGGCCTCAGGGAATGATGGTTAAGTGACCGCTGAAAACCGAGGTGGAGGTCATTGCACAACCAGCTGCTCCTGTTTTGGGCCTGGTCTGCGAAACCCTGAAACCTGGCTTCCGCCTGAAAGCGCCGCAACCTCAGAGGTCCACATGGAAATGCAGATTAGCAACCTGAGAGGCGCTGATGTCGGAGGGTGGGGCGAGCGGTGAACCAATGCCCACGCCTGAAAACGTGAGAGGCGGCTGCTG